GTTAATGGACCAAATCGAGATATATATTCGCTGGCGATCTCGTGGTATCGAAAAGATACCGAGATCGTGCCAGGGTACAAGTTTGGTTACAGAACGTAACCGAGTTCGCGCGAAGTTACGATCAAAGTGTGTGAATAATAATGGAAGCACAATATAGCTGTCATTAGCACAGTCAAACAAAAGCACATTGAAATAAACACTGGTACAGTTGATTATAATAATAATTGTTTTCAATAAACCAATCGTGTTCTCGTGATAAAAGTGAGTCACTACAATATATTTGATTAATGTCGATATACAGAGAAGTGATCAATGTAAGCTGGCTAGTGGTTGTATAAGAAGTGAAGAACGACTTGACCACTCGTGATCCGGTGTGGATACATGGCCGAGCACCTTCAGCTATATGAACCCATTAAAACTAATGCGGTCAGCATTAAATGTCGAGGACTTACAGAGCTAATGATTTTGGTAATTTATTTACCGCTACACGCTCTTAAATATGGAGAAGGCGATAGTCTCTTTCTGGGTTTTAGTTGGTGCAGCTTGAATTGATGGGATCGGTCAACCATCTAACGACAGATGAATATTTCTAAATTATTTGAAGTGTTAATGTTATGACCAATGTCTAACATGTGTTATTTAAAGATTCAATAACTTGATGTAAATTTGTATTTGTCCAAGCTTGTAACATTAATGACATTCACAATAGCTCTTTTGACTAAATTTTAAATTTTCTATATTTAATGTGAACACACAAACTGCTTCCCATATAACCTAAAAAAATAACACGGCTAATAATATTGTATCGTCATTTCCCTGATAAGTCCTGACTGGTTTTATTGTTGAATTTCACAAACTGGGCTGCAAATAAACAAGGGACATTGATTTGTGAATTTTTGTGCTTTTGTTTAGGGATCATCTAAACGTGTACATATCATATGAAAAATCCATTAAACCATCTTAAAATAACACAAAATCCAGATAATAAAATCTCTTTGTATCTTTTTCTGCCCATAAGGAAGCTCCGTACATACTGTGCAGTTCATTTAAATGTCCAAAATATTGAACACGAATTTCTTCAACTTAGTCTTGAAATAAAAAAACTGTATTGCTTGGTAGATATATGTCTAATCGAAATAACTGTTTATCATATCTGAATACAAAATCTGACTTAGCGTGTGAATGTAAAATTCATGAATTCAAGATTATTGGTGTTCATCTGTATTATACACAAAAATATCTATTATTCTTCATTAAAATAACGTACTTGATCACTAAATGAGAAAAAATATTCGATACTGAAATCCTGCACAACAGTTAAAAATACGTTTTTCATCACTCAGAAGGTTGATCATAGTGTTCTCTGAATAGGATTTAAACTATAAAGTAAAAAATGCCTACTGAAAATCCTTCGAGGTTTCTTAAGCGATAGACAACATACCATCATGCACTCTGTACTATCCAATTAGCTTTTGATGACTTGTGGAGTGCGTAGATTTCAATTTCTAGACTTTTACTTTCCTTATTGTTTGCTGACCATCTATCTGGTACCTTCTATTGTCAAATTCTCTTATAAGCAAATGACCTTGGGGCTTATTTCTAAAACATTAGATACTTTTATGGCATAATATGCAACACCACTCGGATGTGAGAAATCAGGCTGCAGAAAGCTGAAAAGATCTGTTTCAAGGGAACAGAATGAGAAACAGAAATAAATTATGAACTGAAAAAAATCTGAAGATGCCGCAAGTATTCGGAATTTGAGAACGTCTTTACACATAACGCCTTTTCAATCTCAATATCTCAACTAATTCAAATCAGAAGTCAGGAATGAAGTAGTTCGAAGATATATTCAGCAGGCTATCGGAATGTTGAAGGAAAGTTCAGTCTGAACTGGTTGATAGTTGAAAGGGACTCATAGCACGGCATATCCATTCATGATCTGGTGCGAATGCATAGCCGAGCACCTTCAGCTAGGTGGGTACATCAAAACAAATGCGTTCAGCACCACGGAACTATTGACTGCGAGGACATTTTACTGTTTCAGACCACACAGAATGTGAAGAACAATTGATAAAACTTGAAAATGAAATATTTGAAGTATGGTTATCATATTTCACGAAGACACTCTGCAATTCTGCATTATTCAGTAAATTGGTATTCCCACCCAAGTCTTCGTTCACAACACCCTGACCCCAAGAATATTTGCTAATATTTTCAGTATTTACTTGAAACTCTGTCGTGGAAAATGGTTTTTCATATTTGATGGTCACAGCTTCGTTTTGTAGTTGATTACTTCCAGTATCATAGGTGCAACGTTTCGTTCGTTACGATTATTGACTAATTGACTAATTGCCTTTATTTTCAAAATGAATGCAACGAGATTTGAATCTTCCCACAATCAAGAACTAAATCTTATTATTGAGGTGGAAAACCCAAAGAATGAATAGATCTTCAAATGTAGGTTGTTGTTGTTTTGATTCAATCAAACTATTTTTATTGTGGAGATAGACCTGACAAACCTATTTTGTAAATAGCTTCTAATATTATTTGTATTTATTTTGTCAATCTTTTACTGTGTGCACATTTATCATTAAACGACTTAACCTGTTGTTTTAGTGAATGACCTCCAGCACACTTTCCGTTGTGTTACTGACATAGCGTGACATACTGTTGCTTGCCAGCAAATACATTGATATACACATATACCTTGTTCTACCTTCGTCTGTGATTGAGCTAACTGCATTCTTAATCAAATATTGGCGAAACACTAATTTAGGGACGAGCTAATCAGAAGCGTCTGAGCAATTTCAAGGTCACGGAGCCAAGTTCAACACGCGATGCTAACATACGATCGGTTCACAGCGGATTTTAGAGAGGAGGTGATTAATGGGAGGTTACAACAGATGGGATGGCGGGACTCTGATTTAGGGACGAGCCAATCAGAAGCGTTTGAGCAATTTCAATTATTAGCCAACCAGAAGACAGCTAGTATGAAGTGAAAATATATTATAAGAAAGTAATGAATTACAGTGGATATTCTTCTTTTACATGATTTAAAAATTTGTTAAGGTTTGATAAAGGTTCAGAGGTTCTGAATTCATAATGCATATGGTATAGAAACTCGTCCATAGGGTTAGGGTTTAGGGTTAGGGTTGTAGCCTAGAGTTAGGAGTAGGGTTGTCGCCCCTCAATAAACATTTCTTCTCTAAAATCCGTCGTTGAAAACGTTGTTCGCAGGCTTCATTATTCGTACACCATGGATTTCATAGTCATTAGAAGGTGTACCATCTACCTGTAAACGTGTATTTGCATCGATTAATCTCTTCTTAGTAATATCTACTAACAAGTTGTACGCACTAAGGAAATAGGCTCCGAGGATAGGTCGTTTGGCATGAGCAACTATGAAAACCCATGTAAATCGTCTGCGGAGTCCGAGGTCTAATATAAGTGATTGCTCTCCATATGTTTTGATAACTGATTCGTTAGCCGCTATTAGGGACAGTTTAGGGCTTGTTGTCTGTTTTCTGTGGTAGAGATAGAGTGGGATGAGGCTGATTTCTGCTCCAGTGTCGACTAAAAAGTCCGAGCCAGAAATACGACGTGAAAGAAGCAGCTAACGTGTTGGCCAGTAACAGCCGTCGCCATTACAGTCTGGCCGCTTCGTTTCCCTGATAGATTGGTTTGTTTGTCTTGAAGTTGCACGGCTTAGTGCAACGGCGTGCTTTCTCACCATAATTCGCATGATACCAACAAATTCCGGCTGCCAGTTTGGGTGACCTAAGATGATGTCTGAATACTGATTTCTTTCTGGACGTAGATCTGGCAGGTCGAGAATGAATGGTGGCAATAGTCGCCTGCAGCGATGTTAACTGCTGTGTTAACTGTGTTAACGTTGCTTGATGTTGAGTGCGTCGCTCATGTCTTCTCTACTTGGGGATTGTATCACGTTAACGCCTCGACCATCGGGATATATTTCTATCATCTTATCGGCCATGTCTGCTAAATCATCAAGATTGGCAGAGGCTTCTGATGTACTGAAGATTTGTCTGACGTTATGTGGTAACCTTTGTAACCACATCTACTTAAATAGTGCTTCGTCTAACTTGTATGAGCCTGCTAGCTGTCTCATATGTCTAAGCAACTGTGAAGGTCTTTTGTCACCTATCTTGCATGCGGTGAGCAGTTGCTTTAAGCGCTTTTCGTCAGACTGTGATATACGGTGGATTACTGCGGCTTTTGTTTTGTCATAGGGGGCCGTTTCTTGTACATTATCAATCAGGTCTCCGACTTATGTTGCCCCTTCTATGGGTAATGCTCCAACGACGTGGGCAAATTTTGTCGCTTGCGAGCGTATACCTCTCGCCAAAAACAATGCCTAAACCTGTGCAAACCAGATTCTGGGATTATTGACACCGTACGTTGGTAATCTTAGCTCTGAAATAGCGTTGATCGAGCTTAAAGCATTATCTTCTAGTTGTGAAAAGTTTAGAGGGTTGGTCGGTGGACTATGTATATCAGTGAGTTTACCAGGAGAGTTCATAGTGGGAAAAACAAAAATGGACTAGCGTGCCAAGTAATCATATATATATATATATATATATATATATATATATATATATATATATATATATATATATATATATATATATATATATATATATATATATATATATAGTAAGCGTCTATAATGAACTCGAGGCTCACCAAATAATTGTGGTGGACCAGACAAATATATGCACATGAAAAAGTACAACCCAAGTTATTAAGAGTAAATAATACTGTCAACTGTTACAAATACAACAGAAAAATTGGAAGTTTACTCAAGTTCACCACAGTATCTAATATCTGAATTGACCCAACTAGATGCTCTGAGAGATTCTCAACATTAAGAATTCTGTGAAAAAATATTTAACTCATAATCTCTGTCAACTAAGATTTAAAAATTTTTCTTGTTAGAGTAACATATTTGTTATTGTATATGAAGGTCAGTTGACTGATGTAAGCTGTGCGCTCTTCAATAACCTCATTCATGGACTTTGTTGTGATTCATGGGTTCATCCTGCATTTAGTACGAAGCGATCAAAAGTACTGTGTTTCAAAAAGATGGGCATATATTAAGCACGACAGTCTTTTTATCTTTCCAAGTAAATCCAGAAGGTCCTTTTATATTTGTAGATCATCTAAACCGTAAGAACTGCCTTAAAGTTTTTCTCAATCATTGTGGTGTTTCTGTATCATATCAAGAAGATGATACGCCCTGGATAACAGTAAGGCGGTGTTTTCCATGAATTGTTTCAGATCACAGAATACTCCGGAGCTACATATTATATTAGACCAGAAGCAGAGAAGACTTTTCAAAACTGGCTGACTGCTATTTACAAAGCATCTAAAAAGTATTTTTTTTCTCAACATCTTACCAGTTGTGAAATTTAAGTTGCAAATCACAGGCAGCAGGGCCTAATATGGAGTACCGACCACATTTCACAGATCAACACTTGTCCAACTCAATAGAACAGAAAATCCTGACTTCGAAAGTTAGTTTATTATTACCCTGAAGATTAATGTACTAAAGATTATATCAAATTTTTGGTTTGGATAGTTTATTTCCTGCAATAGAACTATATTACTCCCTGAAGTTTAAATCCGCTCAGTTATGTGCAATATGTTGTCCAAGCTGGTATGTGAAATAATATTAAGTGGTGATTCCAAAAAGACCCACTTCTTGAATAACCATTAACGTGAAGATTTCGGCGAATGTGATTGGTTTGCTAGATAAATGTAAATTTCAGGCAAAATTTTATGACAAAAGTCTGCACATAATGATGAGATTGTCTGATCTTATTACTTTCTTTTATATCTATACAAAAACACTAATTAGCAGTAGAATATAACATATTCATTGACAGTCCTATTCTATATAATATAACTCAACTTTTGATTGATTTCTGAATAAAATAAATAATTTTAAGTAAACGAACTTCGTATTTAACTGATTCACTAGGTATTAGCGTATAAACTAAACTATAAGTGTCAGGGTTAATGTTGCCCTGTTGTCCAAACTGAAGCAGGAAGGGCGGGGTCCAGTCCTGAGACTTAGTGGCTGAAGGTCATCCACCACTTAGTCACCCCCCATTGCAGATGAACTATTGACTGTCGTTGATAATCTCATAGTTTTAGTTTCAACTCTGGCTTCAACAGACATTTCGCTTTCAGTCTTCAGTAATAAGCATAGTAGGTTGGTGAACCTGTATTAATCCTGACACATTGCTTTCCAGTTGAGGTCCAGCTTCTCCTTGAAAGTATTCACTGATGGGGCTTATACCACTTGTTCGGGTAAGGCTCTCCAACCATTGACTACTCGATGAGAAAATCGGGACCCCACTTTAAGTTTATTAGATCGTGGTTTATGAACCTTCTTGCTATGACTTCGGAGATTATTAGTGCTGGTGGGAGCAAAAAGATAAGACATATTGACACCCGAATCATAATTAAAGATATGAAATGCCAGTATAAGTTTACCTCATGTCCTACGATAAGACAAGGGTAAAAGGTTTAGGCGTTTTAAACGCTCATCGTTAGGGAGTTTAGAAAGACTCTTTATTAATTTTGTTCCTACACGCTGAACACGCTCAGGGAAGTTAGTATCCTTCACCAGGCACAGGATAGCTGCTTGAATACAGTACTCTAAATGTGGTCTAACATATATGGGATATGAAATTCGAAACGTTTCCTCGTCAAAAGATTTGAACGCTCGGCGAAGTGACCATAACGCACGAAAACCTTTGACAGCGGCTGCTTTGCAATGCTTAGTTGTTTTTAAATCATGACTTAATACTTCACCTAAGTCTTTATGCTCTTGAACGCAAGGAAGAGGTTTACCCTCAATAATATAACGGTAGCTATTACCGTAACCGATGTGTATTAGTACACTCTTTCTAGCAGAGATGTATGACTTGTAAATTTCTGCGACTCAGAGAAGTGTTTGTATTAGTTATGAAGAATTGTCAGATGGATAGATAGAAGGGTACATTTAATTACAAAACAGTGTATATCGAATTAAACCTACAGTTAATCTCTGTGTTATATCTATTATTTTTATAGTCGATGGCCAAGAATAAACGAATTAAGTAGAAATGGAATATATTAGCAATTGAGTTGACTACCGTACATATTAGTAACAAGAATAGTGTAATAGGACTATGTGGACACTGCTGGTCTGAAATAAATATAGCATTTGATAACACCAAAATTAGAAATGTTTGTAGTGGAATCAACTTTTTATCGACACTGGTACTCAGAATCACCAACATTTATACTGTGCTGAAGAGAATCCAGGACTGAATTAGATGACTGATCTAATCGGTGTTGTATTTAAATGAGTTCAAACTGTCTTGAGTGCCAATTAGTCAGCTTAGCTCGAGTATTTATACATCAATATAATAATGGAATATTACTAATAGATAAGTAGGCAGACATATAAACAAACAAACAAATGAATATTGGGAAGGTCCACACATAAGGCATCCCAATTTATCACACAAGTGAGCATAAGTTGAACAATCGAATTGTACTGATGTACTTGATATCCACATGCTGAGTTAGACACTGTTTTCCAAAATGATTAAACGATTATGTTCATTTAACTTGTTGAATACCATACTGTGCTCAAAATTGATACATGATGACAAGGTATGCCAACTAACGTGGTCTTTTGTGGTTAGTTTTGAGTAATTCTCAAATTAATATACTGCATCTATGATATTCCGTTCCAAATTATTTTGAAACAAGTAATTTTGATCACGAAAGCCGATTTTTGCTTCTACTATACCCATATCTATAAAATGTGAATGGTCCGAGTTCTTAATTGCTTTTCACTACCTTCACAAGACTCATAAAATTATTGACCAGTCGTATAGATGTTCATACATGTGAAAATTCATAATTTCTGATAAGTGAGTCTTACGTATTAGGAAACACATCCCCTTGATTAGCGCAATATTGCTATTATGTAATATCTACTGCCTTATAATTACTCATACTAATAAAGCTACCTTACGTACTTACACCTGTTACTCCTTGTGGGGCAGCATAGGCCGCCCACCAGCATCCTTCATTGGACTCTGTCCTGGACAATCCTTTACAGTTGTTATTCATTCTTTTCATATCTGCCTTCAATTATCGACATAGTGTGTTCTTTGCCCTTTCTCTTTTCCGTCTCCCTTCATGACTTCAAGTTAGGGCTTGCATCGTTATGCAGTCTGATGATTTCCGTAATGTATGTCCTATCCACTTGCAACGTCTTTTCCTAAATTCCCCTTCAGACAGAATCTAGTTTGTTCTTTTCCACAGTAGGCTCTTACTTATGGTATCCGACCGACAGACATTGAGTATCTTGTGTAGACAATTGTTCGTAAATACCTGTACTTTTTTTATGATCGTCGTGATAGTTCTCCAAGTTTCAGCTCCATGTAATAGAACTGCCTTGACGTTCGTATTGAAGTTTTTGACTTTGATATTGGTTGATAGTTGTTTTGAGTTCCATATGTTCTGCAACTGTAGGAATGCTGTCATAGCTTTTCCAATCTTCTCCTTTACTTCTGCATCAGATACTCCTTGTTTATCGATGATGCTTCCCAGATATGTGAAGGATTCCATCTCTTCCCGAGTTTCTCCATCAAGTGTGACTGGGCTGATGTTCTCTGTGTTGTATTTGAGGATGTTGCTTTTTCCCTTGTGTATGTTCAAGTCTACTGATGCAGAGGCTTCTGCTACACTGGTTGTCTTGACCTGCATTTGTTAATGGGTATGGGTTAGGAGAACTAGGTAATCTGTGAAGTCCAAATCGTCTAGCTGAATCCAAGCTGTCCAAATAAAACTACGTTTTGGGAAGTAAAAGACTTTTGATGTGAGTTAGGTTTTGGATCAAAAGCTTCCTGTTAGAGCACAATATGGTTAAAAGTCGTTCACTAGTGTTTTTGTCTAAACATATATTTTATTGGGCACATATAACAACTCAAATTATTGTCGTTAGCTTTTTGATTTATAACGTTTTCTTGATTTGTGAAAGTTGACTTCGGCACAACATATCACCAATCTACTCAGATTATCATCTAAATTTGAACTATACGGAAAATGCCATCCTTTACTCTGAAACGGTGTGAAAATCATGACAATTAGTTTAATTATGAACAAACGGCTATGAAATTTTCTAACAACGTTGGTATAGTCAACTAGCTCTACTTATCTGGATCAATAGGATTCAATCTTTAATTTGTACTATTGGTGTATTTTATTCTACAGACCGTGTATTTCATTATGCTAATCTCATGAAGATACACTAAACATGTCGTGTGTACTGATGTCAATGTTAGATTTTTAAAATAAATATACTACAATAATATACACACGGTATTAATTGACTCTCATTTAAAATGAATATCATGTAGATAAACAGACTAAGCTGTACTTATATATATCAGTAATTGAAGTGAATATGAATAAATAATTAACTATGAACTTATTCAATTCAGAACCATATGTAAATTTTGATTTTCACTGATGGATAATATTTACTATTTTTGTTTAAAAACAGAGATTAAATGAACAAAGATGTCTGGATCATTTAGGTAAGTTATTCTCATTTTTTTTTATTAATAAGATAATCTTGAGATGATTGATGAATCGTTAAAAGGCCCAATTTCGGTCACTTCAGGCTACCTTATTGTACACTTATCATTTCAATTGTGCTTGTGGACCATATTATATAATTTGCATAAATCATCTACTTTCCAAAGACGTATCTAAGCATTGTCCTGCATGGATGGATGTAAGTCAGTCAAGAATTCCGGTGCTTGCCAGTGCTTTAATTTTGACTGTATGACTTGCTTATATCAGTCAGTGATGTAGATCGCTCAAAATAAACAACAAACATAACATTAAATAAAATACTGAGTATATTGTCTTTTTTTAATTTAGGCAATGAATATTCCAACATTTATCAATCTGACAACAATGAACTCAATGCTCAACCATCACTAAATTCAGCAGTTCAACCTATCAAGAGTAATTATTTGAATAGAGATTTAGAAACGATTCATTCAAGGCAGAAAAATGTCAAATATGTTAGTGAAAATACATTGAGAAGTAAAAATATGCAAGTTGAATATAAACCGAATGAAGACAAACCACCACCTAGACCACCAAGAAATCCACATGTGTTACACACTGTTAAAGAACATTCAAATATGCGTGATGATGAGATTGTTGTAAGTCATCGCTTGTGTAAATTTATAGACATTGTTCTAATTTTTCTGAAATTAGAGGTGATTAACCACCAGTCTTTCATTCAAATTTAGTTTGTCGTGTAGACATTAAAGACATTCATGTTTTCAATTGGCAGGTTATAAGTTCAAATCCCACTTTATTCTTTTTAGATTTGAACAATCAAATTAGCCTTCAAACGAGAGTAAACTATGGCTCAAAGTTGAGTACATACATATATCCGTGGTAAACGAATTATTTTCATTTTTGTGGATAGTATCTATCAAAAATTGATCACATTTGAGTTATCACTGAAAACCAGAAGACACTGGGCATCTGTTTCTTTCTAGTATGAGAACCTTCAGCAATGCATACCCACGACCCTACCAGGGATCTAGTGGTGAAGTATTCATCGTGAGACATGAAATGTTTGCGTACCAAACATTTTGGGGTATTTCACCTAGTGTATGGGTTCTGGATATATATGAGCTCAATTTTTACTGAGGATTCCGTTGCAAGCCCTAACTTAAACCTTTCTTTTTTTGTCTGACATGTTGGGATGTGTTAAAGTGACATATTCATAAAAGACATATGTGGATAACTTCAGATGGTTGAATAAATTCATTTTGGTGAACTTGTTTGCTATGGGTTTTTTAGTGGCCTTGTTTCTTTCTGTGTTATGGTATATCCGTCGATTGTTTTGTCAGATTAGCTTCTAATCATATGACCGACTGGTTGATCTACCCTTCTTTGATATATAAGTAAGCAGATTATGTTGATCTTGATATCTGTTGATTATAAGTTAAATTGAATATTATGCTTCAGAAACTTTTTAACATTCACTGAGTTTTGTCAGTTCCCAAGTCAACTATGTGTTTACAGTTGTCTGCTTACATTGTTACAAATAATGACACATTGTTTCTTGTAACTACTTAACGTATATTGCGTGCATATGTAAACTAATACGGTATTTACTTTACTCAGTATGGTACTTCTTACAGTTAGTGGGATTTATTTTGTAGATGATTTTGAATTTAAATTCACTTGGTATTGTTTACTTGAATCTTCCCATTGATGTTTAGGACTTCACCCCATTACACAAGCATCTGGCTATCAGAACTCGGTAGCTAAGTGGATAACGCGATAGCGCTTGAATCGAACGGTACTGGGTTCGAGTCCCAGAGTGAACATTAAATCTGAGATATAGGTACATCCAGCTGGAAAGTCCCAAATAGGACGGGACTCGCGTCCTAGATTCCACTGCTAGCCACTATTCATCTTTGAATTTGAATTTATGTTTCTCTACTTTTATTTTCTTTGGTCCACATAAAATATCGCTGATTGAGAAGCTTAAAAAAAAGTCACCTCTATATAAATTAGGAGTTGGTAAATTTTTTATCCGCTATGTTGATGAAAGCTTCACATCCAACTAGGAGAATACAAGATCATTAAAAACATTTGCGTGACCTATTTAAATGTTGAGTCTACTTAAGTTTACTCAGGAATTGTATGACCTCCTGGTTTACGTCAAAGTCATACGTCATAGTCGATATCTAGTCTGACTTATCCCATCGTGAAAATCAAGTGAATCGACTTTTTTTGGTGACTGTACTGATCAAATAGCATCTTATCGAAAAAACAAGAACAAACTAGATAACTAAAGAGCGAAGCCGCTACTGCATAGGCGTTTTTATAGCGTGCAACTAATTAATCCATGTTGGTTATTCTTGATCTTAAAAAGGCTCGGTAATCTGTTCAAAACTCAGTGGTCTGGCGTCTAAAGTAGAAACAGTTCAGTTTAATATATTGTTCAACTAGGGCTCAATGATATTTTACTAGCCCTATACATCCACTTAAACTGAAAATCTTCTTCGCTTCAAGGTTAGAGCACATAGCTAACCAATTTGATTGGAAGCATTATTATTAAGCCGAGTTACGATCATCTCTGTACGACTTGATCAAATTCAATGATCAACTAAGATAAATATGATAAAAATTAACGTCACTTTATGTTAAGCTCATCCACTGTCAACTATAATGTATCAAATCATGTTAACTCGTTTAACCGATAAAATACATTAAAATTTTAATATCATTCAGTTAGTATTGATGGAGAAAAGGATAGTATATTGTATACTTTTCAGTAACAGATCTATGTATATGTGTACTGGCATACCTATTAGTTGGTACTATCAAATTGGTGTTTTGACGCAGTTTAGGAATTTTCATTGTAAACAGCTGTTCACTGACTCGTCTTAGCAACCACAATAATTTACACTCATTAACCGCTAAATAGTAATCGATGTTATGATTATCCGATTTGAAGTGCTGGTCAAATTCCATCAGCCATGTTGCAGTAATGTGACCGCTAGTTCAAGTGACCTGAAATTGTCTATGCTACTTTTTTGACTTTAGGTGGCTGGAGATAGTTGGTAGAAAGGTTTCTCCCTTGATCTCATACTAGTTCCCACTGCTCAGAATGGTGTACATGCAATCTTGTGGAATCTCTGTGGAATTCAAAACCACATAACTAAATTTCATAGGGTTAAACGTTACCACTGAACTTCTGTGTTTGATTAATAAGCGGTACTTGATCGATGAATTGTTGATAAAATTTTGAAATCCTGGATTTCTTGTATTCTCTGTTCTCAAGATCCAGTTATACGTCTGAGGATTGTTTAACTTAAAACCTTGAAAACTTCGTTAGCTAACCTAGTTCCTCTGAGATTATAACCTATTAATTCTCTTCTTCTTCTTCTTCTATAATCTGATATGATTAAGTATCGATGTATGTTCATGATTATTCCTATCGCTATCCATTTCATTTTCGTTCAAACATCAGTGGTTAGTTTACTTCACAGATTGTATTTATTACAGATCAAACTCAATAAGTATGCGCTTTCGAAGAGTTCCATACTTGAAAGAAATAGCTGTTCTAGGCCATATGGTTTTCCGTGGTGCTCCAATCGAATTCAATATACAGTGAATATAACATACAAAATGAAACTAATCTTCATAAAACCTTTTAACTGAACTATAATATTCAGCTCATTTTTAACTTGAAGATGTTCTTTAAGTTCTAATAAGAAGTCATGCTTATTAGAATTCAAACATATTGGCAGTGAAACACTCGTCACCAATGGAATTAGATTATCGTTGTTAAATATCACAAATTGTTTGAAATTGAAGTTGTATCAGTAGACTCCGACCTAGTTCATCAGGTGGCCTGTTTTGAACCCCTGATAAGATAATGGATATTTATTACCAAGATATCCCTTACTAAGATAAAAACAACCATGTGGTGGTCCTATAGTTTTCAATGAGACTCCAAATGAGATCAATCTGTGATGAATACAACTTCTTACATTATCTATGATATATTTTCTTAAATTAAGACAAAGAATGTAACTAAATAAATTCATAACTAATCTGATTATATATTCGTCTAAACAACTCTATCTCTTATGACTGCTACTCACTAGGTAATATTGTACTACTGTATAGAGTTACTATATGGGTTTATTGATTAATTTATAAACATATTCATTTGCTCATGCAACTATATATGTCTATATTTCTATCAAATGAAATAACATTTGTTAGTTACTAAACTGTTTTGTTACTCTTTCAATGAATTATCACTAGTCACAATTGTTGATTTATACACGTGATGAGTAAACTTAAGGTCAAACTGTGTGTAGTAACAGGAAGTGAATGGTTTGTTGTTGTTGTTGTTATTTCATTGAATCGATAATTTAATGGTTTCCATTCTCTTTCGAATTATATTTTCATCTAAGTAAATGAATATTCTAGCAGCAAACTATAATGTGTACTATAAAAAATAGTTTGTTTTTTTCACATAGTTGGAGTTATTGTTTATTTATTCATGTACATGTTTATATCCATAAATTCATCCAATTAGTTAATCAGTCAGTTAGATACAACGTAGAACCAGGTACATATGTGCATCGGTTCAAGTTGCTACACCTCATTAGCACAACAAAATGAACATCAAATTCATAGAAGTAGTCACTTCTATGGTAGTAATATATAAAAGAAAGATTGTGTATAAGGATGTAGTACAGGAAGAAAGGATTAGTTGGTAGAAATAAAGGTATAAAGCAATCTTAATCTCACAGTTTAAAGGAAGACACAAAGTGTATACAATGATGCCATTGTGATCGATTCTGAGCTGTGTCACCTAGAGTCCCAACCATTGGTCACTATGATCACGCGGACTCCAACTAAGTAGTCTGAATCTACCACCATGGCTCAGACTAGAAGTTAGTTGGCCGCCCCTAACTTTCTTCCAACCATTTCCAACACTAGTCAGCATTGCGTGTCCTGATAATCGGTGTTCAGGCATACGTAACATGTAGCCCAACCGTTGTTACTAGTAAACACTTAACCTCTAGATCACCGAGCTACCATCTGATGGCTTATCTGTCTAACTTTAATCAATTCACATTATCTAGCAACAATCTTTCAGTGTATGCTTCTAGGTTTTTAATGGTTGTCTAACTTGTGCCAGTTCGTGATCACAATGATCTTAGTCTGTTAATTACAGTAAAGAACATTTTTGATTGAAGTTAAGAGGGTAAACCATTAAATTCACCCTCAGTAGTCTAAAGTTATCTTTCTGTTGACAAAATCTAAAAGTCATGGCCTTGATTCTGTATGTAAGATCGTGGGTATATGCTAAAATAAAGAGTGGTGAGACTATAATTTATGGACGACCTTGAGGGTGTCTACCTACTTACTAAGGCTAAATGAGGGTTATTAAGCAGTTTGGAGAATAAGGATTATGATTCACAGTTGATGGCTAGGGCTAGGAATTAAAATCGCTCTTTTTCATCACGAAGTGACATCAGCTAAAATGCCAAGACACTATTTGGTCAAATGAGTGGGTGAATTTCGCGCCAAAATCCAAGACCTGCTCTCGTAAGTCTGATTGGTTCGTCCATAAATTATAGTCTCACCATTCCAACATTTTAAATCTACTCTTGTCAATAGCTGCCATGAGTATGTGTATACAAAATCAATAATTGAATGCCTGTTAAGCAAAGATCGTAGAAAACATTCTAAATTAGTTAGAAGCAAGTAAGATCTATGAAATGATAGTTCTAATTAATTAGAATGTCCATGTTAACAAAATAACGATTCTGTCGTCAGATAGCAGCAAGTTCTCTAAATGACCTCAACAAGCTAGATATAACTGGAATGATCGATAAATTACTGAGTGAAATCTTCCAGAGAATAAGAAAGGATCATGTTAAATAATAAAGATATTTATAAATGTATTAAGCTACAAATATCAACGATACCATAGTGAAATGCTTTGTCCAAAGTATAGAAACTTGGGTTACTTGTACAGCTCATTTTTGACTTGCATAGATCTACTAATCAGTTTTCAGCGAAATGTTTAGAATATCTGTTGAAGCCTGTAAGAAAACGTATTCTTATATATTTCCTACTCTTGTGGTCGGAGGACCTTAACATTACATAAAGCTCTTCGGCTACTCGCCTCTTTTTATGATTGAAAAAAGCATTTCTGAATTATTTTGATACTTTTAATATTGATTTGGTGACTAATGAAAATATCATCGCTTAATAATTTGTGCTGATGATGTCATTCAGAATAACGATGAAAGCTCTACGACTAAACCATTACATTCAAAGAAAAAAGCTCTACCAAAATCATTTACCTGAGCTACAAGTCTTCTAGACTATCGTACATTTACCAATTCTACAGCATTATTAAGAGATCTTTTCGTGTAACTTATATGTTCTTTGACATAAGTAACGAAATATGAAGAATACAATTTTCTACTCATTGGAATATCACAAAAATATGTTTATTACTTTGTTTTCTTATGTCTTGTGTACTTTAGCTTATTTTAAATAATTAAACTTAAATTATTTTTATAGTTGAGATCATGAGTCAATTGAAACTAGATCACCTTGGAAAACCTGGAAGCACTGGACAACAGTTTCGTCTTATCGTGGGACTCCTCAGCAGTGCGCATCCACGGTCTCGCTCCGCGGAATTCTAACTTATGACCTGTCGGTCTCGCGTGCATGTTTAACCTCTAGACCACTGAGCCGACACCCAACGGTGTTAATGTCTAGCTTCAACTAATCCACGAAATGGAGTGACACATCCAACATTCTCTTCCATGAGTTACTATCTCACAACAGATCCGGTTGAACTCCACTAGTCAGTGCTTCTCGCTAGAACTCGAGGAAATATCTCTTGAAGCCACTCACTGGTGAGCATGTGCTGAAGAGTCCCACAATAGGACGAAACAACCATCCAGTATTTCCTCGTTTTCCATGGTGGTGTAGCTTCAATTGACTAATGATTTCAACTATTAAATCAATATAATCTCCACAAAATCCCCTTTCTGATATCGAAAATTTATATTTTTAATTTATTAATATCAGAAAAATCAATCTTATAGCTTCAGTCTTTTTTTATACAAGTTACTTGATAAACTTGTATATACGAGTTAATTAACGACACTCATCACTAAGATATGCGAAATAGCTTATATGTAGCTCTGATGTTAAGTCAACTACAAATCGTTTTTTTTATGTACTTATTATGAATATAGAAAATTCCCTATTTGTATGAGAGTTATTCGGTAAAAACAATTAACGGTGTGATGTAATTACTAACTAAAGGGATTGGATGATTAGTACACTAGTTTTGAGACCTGAAAATCTTAAGTTCAATCGTTAATTTGAGTCTTAAATGTGATGGAAAGTTATTTATTTGAAGGAAACAACTATTCAATAGTTTTTGTGAGGACGGTTCACACGTGAACTCAAGGAAGCTCTAAGAAGCCCAGAAAGAGCCAAAGACATTTCATCCAATCATCTTTTGGAAGAATGTTCCAGAATCCCTACGTGTAGCTCCCCTATTGTATAAATGCTAATAACCCCCTGCGTGCGGATTGGATAACTATAATTTATGATTTCATTTTTGATAAAACTATAAATACCTGACATTTTTGCACTATAATTTGACACTGTTTGGAATAACTTTTCTTCCACTTGTCTTTGTCTTCTCGTCTGCGACTTGGGAGTGTTAGATGGTGGTTGGAGGTAGTCGACAGGAAACTCTGGACCCGGGTTTCGTGCTACTTGATACTCGTCAGCAAGGTGTACCTGTAACCTTGAGGGAACTGGTGCTCCCTGGCTGATTCGATCTCGTGTCACCCAGCTTCACAGTCAGAGACGTTACCACTGAGCTATCCGAGCCGTAACTAACCTCCTGTAGGAATGAGATGTAATCACAATCGATTGATAACTGGGTGGTGATCAATGTCATGCATGTCTAGTCCTTATTAGTGCAGATCGAATCCGCCAGGTAGCACTAGTTCCCTCAAGACTAAAAGTACACCTTGCTGACGAGTGCCAAGTAGCACGAAACCCTCGTCCAGGGTTTCCTGTTGACTACCTCCAAGCACCATCTAATCTCAATATATAGTGCCCGCAATGTCGAGTCACCTAGACTGGTGGCCACATTGCAACTTGGTCGATAGCATTCGATCTGCATTAATAAGGATTAGACATGCATGACATTGATTGCCACCCAGTGATTAATCATTTGTGACTCGGGAGTTTTCTAGCGCCGAATACTGATGTTATATGCGGCGTAGTAAGAATCTTAGCCTTAGATATAACAATTTTTAATGAGTAGTATATGAAGAAGTAGTAATATTAAAAAAGGTTTTACATGATTAACTAGTCTGCTGGAACCTTTTGCAGATCTTTTTGTCTATAAGTCTAAAAGAAGAACACACTAAATATAACTTCATCCATTCGGGAATAGAACATTCACCTTCTTTAACACTTATAAGAACTCAAGAAGTATGCTAGGCATCTTTGTATTCCTAGTTCAGGGTATACATTTATGATTGATTTGCATATTATTTATATTCTAAACATTTAGTACGTTTAAAGCTATCATTTTACTCCCTAGTGATAAATAGTAGTTTTTCCATCATCATCATCATTTTAAACATTCTAATCACTATACATAGAATATCTGCTATATGTTTGACATAATGTAAAATAAAAACCAACTGTGGGCAAAACCTTAAAAGTCATTTACTTGATTTTGATTGGCTTGTCCCAATCCTATTACTACACTTTTATCAGTATTTCTACCTTAGTTGTTTTACATTTTTGTCTCTATACATTATACTCTATTTATTGATTAGGAGACAAAAGCTTTGGCAAATGTTAAACACCGATATCCTGTTACTGGTCTGGCTAAACGAATGAGTATTGCTGCATCAGATCTTTTAGGTAAATCGGTAAGTTTCTTTGAAATGGTTTGATTTTATTATTATTATTATTATTATTATTATTATTATTATTATTATTATTATTATTATTATTATTATTATTATTATTACTGTTAACAGTTGATTGCATGTCATTGGTTTAGTCAGACATAATCATCAAATTGCTTGACACAAATGTCTATTAACCCAAGTTACCTTATCACACAAACAATATGAGATGATATTAATAAGATGTTTAGTAAAGAAGTCAAAATACTTGTAGTTGTAATGATAACAATAAAGATTAAACGGTAATAGTTTGGTTTGAGAAGATGGAATGGAAAGATATGTATGAAGGAATACTGGAACTCAAGATCCAAAAGAAAATAAAGCGAGTACAACTACGGTACTGAAACTGATTCTGAGTTAACCAACATATTCAGTCGCCTGTCACAGTTATTTCCAGGTCTCCATACTACTTTATACTATGCACCTGCCAACATGATTCAGATCGACAGCCAATGATATAATGAAATAAGACCAAGTCTTTGTTTGGTTGCAGTCTGCTTTCTTCTAACTTACTCCTACACCAACCATAACAGAACGTCAATGTGTTCAGTGGCTGAGCATACGTAATACATTTCACAGCCACCTTAATCAACAAAACTGCACTACCTCATCATCTGATTTGTTATCTTTCTCTAGTAACTTATGCCTAACCTCAGCGTTGTTCACCTGGTCGTTTCACGGTACACGCATAATTTCTCAAAGACACGTATAGTTGAAACCCTGCAGCCTACGCGTGTCTTTTAATTCCATAGAACATGTTTCACAGCTATAGAGTAATATGGAGCAGATTACTTTCGGGAATACTAGGTCTTTGATTCATCCACGGAAATCTCGCCTACTGCGCAAGTCACATAAGTTTGGAAAAGCCAAGGAGTGTTTCTGAGTTATTTGACATGACTTTGAGAATCAATCACCATACCAGCGTGTGGAATAAATTTTAAAAAAACAAACACGTATCTTAGATTTATTCACTCCTAGCCACAATCTAAACATATAATAATGTTTTATATTTACTGAAATTCACACATGTTTGTCAGTGTCATTGATATCACAAAACAATTCAGGTTAGATAACCATTAAAACCTTGAAGTCCAGGACAGCTTTCTCTCCTTAGTATGCGACTCCTCATCAGTAGACGTCCACGAAGTTATCAGCAGCAATAGAATTTAAGACTTGTAATCTCGCCCTCGAACGCTTAACCTGAAGTTCACTAATCAACTATCCAGTGTTTCATATATCTAGCTTAAATTAATTTACAACAAAGAGTGATCATTTTCCATTGTTCTTTGTGAGTATGTGCTTCATACTTGACAAAATTGAAGTTCGCCAACCATAACATTACACCAGAACTCCAAAATTACCTCTTGAAATCAGTTACTAGTAGGTAATATGATCAATAACAGTATAAAAGTTTCTAGAGATCATTGAATATTAATGATCATGTTGTTATAGTCTTCAGCACAGTTGGGGGGCAATTTGAATTAGGTTTCTTTTCAGATATACTTTCATATTTTAATGTATTGAAATAAATTCAGATAAAATTCTCTAACAACTGAACATTTACAAATATATGTATACACACACACACATCCGAGCTTACCTGCAGTGTTAGATGACTACTGTTGGGGACGTGTTAGTTGCTAACTTTCTATAGGAAACATTGATTTGGATTAGCTAAAGTGATGTTATAATCATTAGTCAGAATAATATAATGAATTGATTAAAATCATAACTTCAAGTTACATGTCTCTTAATATTTCTTTAATGGGGATACTTCAGAAGTTAGCTATTACGTAATAACCTAACAGCGATTATTCAGTCAGAGATTGAATACGGACACTGTGAATCATGGATTGTACTATTATTTATTACTGAAATAATGTCACGAAAAAATCACTAAACATAATATGTTATTGATACAATCACATCGATTCAAATTGCCACATCACATCAACATAGCGAGATGAATATGGACATAATAGTAATAGTATAACGAACGAGAACTCAGTTGTGGAAGGCTAATTTATTGTTTAATGCACAATTACACAGTGGTTTCATATTCATCAAATGATGGTAAATCAGTTGATGAGGTTATGAATCTTCATCGACTGAGATGGTTGGGCTATGTGTTACGTATGCCTGAACACCGATTATCAGGACACATAATGCTGATTAGTGTTGAGGATAGTTGGAAGAAGGTCAGGGGTGGCCAAACCAAAACGTGTCACCAATCCATGAAGTCACTAACTTCTAATCTGAGCCATGTTGGTAGATGAAGACTACTTAGTTGGGGTCCGCGTGACTGTCCTTACATAAAATCTTTCTTTTATATATTACGCCTTTGAGTTAACTGCTTCTATGAATCCGGTGTTCGTGTTGTTGTACTATTGAGGTGTGGCAACTTGGACCGATGCATATATGTACCTGGTCCTACGTGGTAACTGACTAACTGGCTGACTGACAGAATTTACACATCTTTTTTTAATTTTCTCTTACAAGCCTCATTGTTCCTTCATTTCTGATTTTATCTAGACTGTTTCCAATTCCCTTCTCTGTTCTTTTCGCTTTAATCTTCCCAACTGTCTACTCGCAGATATTCCACTTCTGGCTTGTGTTACATACTACTCATATCTGCAAACATAAGTAGCATACACCACAGTAGTAGTAGTTAAATCATTTTCTCTAAAAAAAGATTAGATGTAAACAATATAACTCCAGAAGCAACAGAATAATTTACTTAATAGAGAGTATAAGGATAATTTTCAAAAAAATCATCATCTAAGGGAAGACATATCAACTAATGTCTCTAATCATTGATCACGATTATTCAGCGAACTTTAACTATGTAGTCTGCCCCTGATTATATGGATCATATTAACATGAATTACTAAATGGATTACCTCAGTATTATTACATAGTAAATGCTTAAAAATGTCATAGTCACTAAATACTAGCTGTTGTCTCATCAGTGTAGTTCTGGTTTAAGTAAATATAACTACATTGTAACATGTACCTAACAAATATATTAGATACTAGTCGTATTATTGAGAATTGGCTCCAATTAATGAATACAAGTCATCCAATATGCTGTTACTGGTGTCTACTATTGTGAAATTTTAAACTAGATTAAAATAATACTGTACAACACCCTCTGATTATTAACTATTCTTCAACTGATTTCAAGTTTTACGAATTAAGCTATTTACAAATTATACAAATCCATTAGTCCTTCAATACTACTAGGAAGTTATGAAAGAGCAGTTGTCACTTTCTAACTACCCACAACGTAGAAGGATTTTATTTATTTTGACTTTTTCCTTGAGTCGTTTGAATATTAGTTTTCCATGTTTCAACTTTCCAAAGTTATGGCAGTTGAATGTGGTTTTGATAACCTGGGAGCATAGTTATAGGTCCAGCCATCTTCCTATTTCATTTCCATCATTCAATGACAGCTCAGCAGAATCATGGGTGCGCACCGTTAAGGAGTCTCAGATGAAGAAGAAATAACTGTTCTTCCTGGCTTTTATTAGCTGTTTAACTCAAGTCAGTTTGTGGTATGAACTATAAGAAAAGTCTTGGGAAATGTAGGCTAGTTCTATTGGATTGATGATAGATGAAAATATGTTCGCATTACTTGGTTTCATGTACCATTCATCAAGTCTTCCTTATCTATTTAACGATCATCCTTTTATAGAAGGTGGTTCATCATTATCAAAAAGTGTCCTTCATTTAATATTCTGAATCCAAGCTCCTAATATACGTTTTTTCTAATAATCAGGATATTTTCAAAGGATCAAACTTTACATGTACGTAGTTTTCTTCAAATCATTTTCTTTCCCCCTTTCTCTTTGCTTTTCAGCGTGATGATCTCATTTTGTTGCTTCTTCAATTAAATCGTGAAAAAGCCAATCTAAAAAGATGGTATGAATATTTCACTTATCAAATCGATCAAATTCAATTAGTAAAAGGGTAAATGTAATTGGGATTCATTTTCTTATTGAATATTTTTTACATTTTATTTGTCAGCTCTCTGGTATTTTTTGTGACTTTTAAACAAACTATTGACATCGGAGTACAATGCTTAGGTCCTGGGTTCGAATCCCGCGAAGCGTGGTCGTGGATGCGCACTTCTGAGGAGTCTAACAATAGGACGATACGGCTGTCCAGTGTTTCCAGGTCTTTCATGGTGGTCATGATGCTCAACTATTGAAATTACTACAATCTCCACAAAACCCCTTCATATACTAATTTTTATTCAGTTTTCTTTACCAATTTTTTTCACTTATGGAATAGATGAGATGTCTATTTACCTATCTATTAGTGAGTAAATATATACTGTGACTGTGAAATATTGCCTTCGAAGTTAATCAACTTGCATAGATTGCAAATATGTGATCACAAGAGTCTAAGGAACTATGAACGCGTGCAATGAAACTATGGATTGAGTATTGTTGAGATTGGACTTATTTATGAATAGAAATGGTTGGTTTTTTTATAACATCGAAAGTATTCATTAACTTAAGTTGTTGACAGAAGTTAGAGTTAGAGATCTACAGAAACGTCGCAATCCACTATTTTAAGACCTGAACTGTTTTGACCCAAAAATTGTCATAGTTGTGAAGTCACATTCATTCTTTTTCATTTAAATCATGAGCTTAATGAGACATTTGATACTTTCTATTCTTGGATTTTATTCGTTGCCTTTGAACTGATTAACCTGTCACTACGATCAATTTTGTCAATTCCTTTCCAGTGTTTATCATTTTCTTATTGACCTCCTCTTTTTTTGAATTTATGAACAGTGTCGCAACATGAACTGATACACACTTGCCATATCTTATTTTGTCTGTGACTGATTAGCATTCACTTAAAAATTGACAATGCTTCTAGTGAGAAGCAGCGACCAGTGGAGTTCAACTGGGTCTGTTGTGAGATAGTAACTTGTTGAAGAGAGTGTTGAATGTGTCACTCAGTTTCGTGGATTAATTGAAGCCAGACATCAACACCGTTGGGTGCCGGCTCAGTGGTTTAGAGGTTAAGTGTTCGTGAGCGAGACCGATAGGTCCTGGATTAGAATCTTGCGAGGCGGAATCGTGTATACGCGCTGCTGAGGAGTTCCATTGTTATGATTTTAAGTCTGGCTTATTATCACGTGACTTGTCCACCAATCAGAATACGACTTATACAAATCTTCACACTATGTCAACCAATGACCTTCAACCGGTATGAGCAGTCTAGCGTCCTTATTGGTCCTATGTCCTCCTAGCCCATCCACTTGAGTCCAGAACACCAGTACCAGCTTCTGCAATATGAATCGAATCGTTTATTTCAGACATACTCGGTTTATATATCAATCAGACAGATCACAACGAACCATAAAATAGAAAATAACATGTATACACAATAAAGCCAAAAAGTGACTGTGAACATGGGAGGCAGTAGTTAATAAACTGAACATAGCTTAAGAACAGTAAATCGTACAATAATAAATTATAGATCAAAATAAAGCTTACAATAAGAGAAATATAAATATACATAATCTAATCATCATAGTCGTAAATAAAATCTTTCGTTATGGCTAATTCGGCCTAGGTAGAGGTGTTTCAAATTGCAAATGAATACAGAGACTCGGATTGTTACCTTGAATCTTTGTATCTTCCGCTATGTTTAAGAGACGAAATCAAACCCCATAAAGAAAAACTAGTAGGAATACGACAACTCACTTTAAACGATCTATTTCTATCTAGTACATGACCACTATCGATAAAGTGTGATAGGACAGACCTGCATATTGTTATGACGATACTCCTTCCTAACTACAAAGGGAGGTGTTCACTAACTCGTTGGCTCAGTTGTCTGGTTGTGCGTCCAATATAGCTTTCCCCACAAGAACAGTTGAATCTGTAGATACACATGGATGTGGCAGAAACGGTTAACTTATCCTTTAGTTGAGGAATCACCATATATCGGCTGGAGCACGATAGACAGATGTTAGTTGCATTAAATGAAACATTGATACAAGCTTTTGCTATTCTTATCACAACTAGTACACCCGTCGTCACATTGTCGATTTGTACTTTTCACTTATTTATGTAATATATTCCACTGTTATCACTGACTCATTAAACTGCCTTGATTGTTTTAATAATTTCGTATAGGCATATAAATATTACTGTATATTAGAGTAAAACCCGATGAGGATCTAATTCAAACCAATATTGTTCGCCTATATATGTTGTAGCCTACAAGACACGCGATGGCAAAATCAAACAGCCATATCGAAATCACTGACCTTTCACTTCTCCTTATCATATCGATAATTCAATATACCAACCGAATTTATTATAGATGAAACTATTTTGTACACAATTGTTTTGTGATTTCACTTACATTTGATGATTCTGACTTTTTGATCCATTCCCTGACGAAGATTAAACCAGACAAACTGATGAGTGTAATTTTTTTATTGAGATCATGAACCGATTGATGTTAGACCATCACTGAAAACCTGGAGGGACTGGACAGCCGTTTCGTCCTGGTATGGGACTCCTCATCAGTGCGTATCCACAGCCCCGCACAAAATATCGTGGATTAGTTGAAGTTAAACATTAACACCATCAGATGTCGGCTCAGTGGTCTAGAGGCTAAGCGTTCGCGCGCGAAACCGAAGGTACTTGGTTTAAGTTGGGTTGGCACAATAGGTTACTTTAGCTATATCAGAACGTATTCATTCTTATTATCTTATCCTTATTTTCAATGACCTTTACGTGGAAAACTTAAACCAAAATTTTACATTTTGTAATTGCGTCATTGACCTTTAGTCGCCTATGTCCTGTAGTTTCTAGTCTGTCTGGTGATTCATCTATTGATTAATGTTTTATTTTACTCACTCATGTGAACTACATTCGCTGATTTTCACTAATTATATCCATGCATACCAACAAACAAAACCAACGCATTAAAACCATTTCCTTTAATTTAAGTAAAGAATTTTATAGAGTTTATTTTAATGTATAAATATGGATCTCATTCCAGAATGGGACTTTTTAGCAGTGCACAACCATAACCCTATAAAGAATCGAGGCCAGGATATTTGGACATGACAAGAAAGAAACAGCTGTCATCAGTATCATCGGGTGGTCGTTGCACTTTATTGAAAAGCCAATTAACTCTGGAACTGCCTTGACGGGCGCCAACTTAGTGGGTCTAATCGTTAGGCGTTTATTGTGGGACCTGGGGACCTAGAATTCGGTGACAGGTGGGAGCCCCATATGAGAAGAGAGTAGTCATCTAGTGATTCATAATACCTGGTTTGAAATCAATATCTGACTAATCACTACAAAATCCTTTCACCTAACCTTGAAATCCTTTTCTGAAATTCAATTTTAGAAATACAAAAGAAGCAAAATCAGATATAGCTGTAATTCAGTCTGAATTGAATGATGTAATTGGCCAGTTGAAATTATCAGATCCATTAATAAAGTTTCTTGATAATATGATCCGTATGGGTGATGTTTACGGTGGTGATGATGTATTGTTTGCTAGTGAATATCGAAGAGTAAGTTATTTGTTGAATATCTTTTGACGACAGAGTAGTATTTTTTTGCGACGAGAGGTAAAGAAGTGTCTAACCAGTGTAAAATCATGGTGAATTGGGTTTAAATACTTGTTTGACAATTCAATTATCTTACTAAATAAAGATTTATTGAAACTAGAGTTTGATGCAGGTTTCATTTAATGGTCAGAATACTTGACCTTTAACCACTGGACAACAAGTTCGAACATTGTCGATACCCCTTTTTTTGTTCAAGGAACTATTGAAAATATGAATCAACACTTCAATACTAAAGTGTTGCAGTAAATGATGTTAATAATATTATCTTTAGAGATTTCCACCGTGAAACAGTTAATTTATAAAGTTACCGCCAACTGTGTATATGGATTGACATTTATCTGCTTAAGGCATCAGGTTGGTAGACCGAACTGTTTTCTGCATAATCAATCTACAACCAAACTCCTGTCTTTTTGAATTCTCTGAAGCTATAGCCATCAAACTCCTTAAGCTGAAATTATATATCCAATAGGAAACAGTGTTGATCGTCCTCAATATTGACGACATTTGGCAATTTTTTCAATGTTTAATGACTTTTTGTCTATATTAAAAATAGTTCAGCCTAGTGGTTGATTCGGCTTGGTATCAGTGCATCACATTGTTAATTAACATAACTTGGTTGATAAAATGCAGTCAGAAAGGCCGACTAGATTATGTGATATAAAACGTTCGCTAATGACCTGTTGGTGGATTAAAACAGTAATAAAAGAGTGCCATAACTGAGACTAGAAAAGCATGAAACACTTGATCGGTGTTTTGGTGCACATCGACTGAGTGCATTTGTGTATCGTGGCAAAGAGAATAACACCACTCATCCACTGATTTGAACTCAAGTTTTCAAAAGTCCTCTTTTTTAGTCAGTTCATGATATAAAATAGCCAATTAACCAACTTTCGTAATTTTCTTGGATTAACTTTTTTTGCATGGTCTTCTTTTAATCATCAAAATAGCATCTATTACCCTCTCATGAGATTGTTCCATCAAAGCCAAGTTTAGAGTTTGCTCGTGACATTGAAGAACGTGAAATTGCTCGTGTTCTAAATAATTCATTACGTCATTCTCTACATCGTACAAGTCCTCTATCTGATGGAAATCATCTCAGTCAACCAATAACACCTATTTCATCATCACCGTCACCATCATCATCACCTTTCAATAACTTAAATACATCGATTATACCAAAATTAGATAATATGCCTGAACCGGTAGAAATTCGATTACAACGAAAACGTTTGGAACAGGAATTAGCTAATATTGAAAATCTATGTGCTCCGCATCAGTTGATCCATAGAAAATTGAAGGATACACAAAAATCAATTCGATTAACTGAACGAAATAAATTGCCTACAGAACAAGTAATAGAACATTGTATTTTTATATTTGTGTGTAAACTACTTGTTAGCACGTCTTTGTATTGGTTATTTGAATCTTCTGATTGATTTTAAGAACTGTAATGGATCAGTCTCTTATTGGTGTATGTACATCATGTGCGGATTGTTTCAATATTGAGTTGAGTCGCAAGTATTATAAGCATAGATGATAGTGGCTAGTAGTGAAATTCAGGATGCGTGTTTCGTCCTTCTTGGAACTAAGTGGATAACGTGATGGAGTTTTAAGTGAACGTTACTAGGTTCGAGTCACAGAATGAACATCAACTCTGGGATGAATTTACATCCAGATGACCAGTTCCAAAAGGAACAAAACGCGCGTCCTGAAGTCTACTGCTAGCCAATTTCATCTCTACTTGTAAGTAGCTTAAATTGTTAACAGTAAATACTCATTCATTCTACAATTAACCGATAAATGCTTGAGATTCAGTTCAGTCATCTAGCCGAGATTTATTTGGTTCTTTTTACCTTGGATATGTACTTCACTACCAGTTTTCAATTAATATTGAGCCACTAATATATAGTTCGTGTGTTATTTCATTTTATTATTTATTTATTTAAACATATAAATATTGGTACAAAGGGGCACCGAACATATATGCTCCACACAAGTCACTTCATTTGTGTGTGGGCTGCGATACTGCCCAGGTGCCCAAACCGTATCAAGTGGTTTTCTCAGGGGGCTACACCCGGAGCCTTCGACCGAAAGGTCTGATCCACAAGGCAGTGGCACAACGTAAGGAGATGTAGTTCCGTGTTGTCCCGGTGACCAGCAATTGGTTTATACTCCATTTTTTCTATCAGGATCCTGAAGCCCATGTGCACCATTGGTTTAGAATGAGGGTTTTCCAACTCCCCTAGGTGTACTCTCCGTGTCCATCAACCCTGTTAAAGCGCCGGACATTCGCTTTTCGTACACTCAACTTTGTAAACAACATCCGTGCCACGAGAAGGTGGTGAGTAGAACTTCCCTGACAGTGACTATATACGGGTGGCCATGTGAGAGCATCTAGAGAGGGAGAACTAACTCTCCCCACTCTCGGTCATAGCAGACCATTCGGGGGCTCTGAATATTCATCCTATTGTATCAATCATTGGCTAGATATTCTTTTTATTGAATAACTAACTGATAAAATTTTCATGATAATCCTGGGAAAGCGTTTTATTAACGGTAAACTTAAAAATGTCATACTGTTCAAATTTAAGTTAACAGCTTATCTCTAAGCATTTGGATGGGTCTAAACTCTTAATATTAGATTTTCCAATTTCTACTCATATCTGCATGTTGATTATCTGCTTGATGTTATAATTTCTTACTTACTACTTATCGATGCTTTCTATAAATAGTCTCATAGATTCGTTAATTGTTACTTATTTTAATGATTTTTATATTTATGATTCTTTCAAGTTATTCTTTTGACAAAGTTTTATTATACACTTATATGGAATGATTCAGTAGTATTAACTAATCTGAAATAAGATTTGAATTAAAGTAACTACGACTCGATATTGCATAATAAAAACGTTTACGCTAACAATTTTGTTTTATAAACTTTATGGTTAATGAATCGTAACTTTCTTCAAAATAGTTTCCGTTTGTGACTGTATAGTTGCATCATCATCATTTTCTATTTTACTCAAAGTATTCATGTATGTTTCAAGATGTTAGACTCTTCAACTGTATCATCGTCATCATTATCACTTCACGTTGTATATCATTTTAAATTTTTGTCTAGGGTCGTATAAAAGGTTTATTGGTATCCATGCCAATACTGAACTAACAATCAGACATCACAAGTGATATTTTTATCAAGATGACAGTCTTCCTGACTGTATGCTATCTCTACAGATTGCACTACTCTCACTTGACCATTTGATTCATTTGAAATAATCTTTTTTTTTAAAAGTAATGGGTGAATGTCTTTAGAAGTTTCAACAAGTTTTGATAAAACATTGATGTATTTCTAGCCTTCTATTCATCAGACATATCATGTACATTGAATATTCATCTTCTTTCAGTAACCATATTATTTCATGTCCCGTTAACAAGTTGAATTTGTGCAATAATAAACGTATTGTACATTGATTATTTATAGTTAACCAACTAGAAATAATTTATGAACGAACCAATCAGATTTAAGATAGCATGTCTTAGATTTTGGCGCGAGGTTCATTTACTCATTTAGTTAAGTATTATTTCAACATTAAAGTTGATGTCAGTTCGTGATGAAATCATTGAATCTAGTTTCTAACCTTAATGTTCAACTATAACTCTGTTAAGTCTTGCTGATACGACGCTATATTCGTCCCTAAGCTATTCTGATAAACGGTACGCTAGAACTATACAGCGACCTGAACACCAGGAAGAAGACGCAAAGTATGAGAGAGACACTTTACTGCAAGGTTCGTTTTTGTACAGAAAACATGGGTATTTATAAATGTTAACGTTTGTCAAATCAACATCATATTTCGGCCAGTCCGTTACCGACATATTATGCTACTGACCAATAGTAGCACGCCACGTTGGAATTCTAGAATGCTCCATCATTCTCTGGTTGGCTAGGACTCTTCGGTTCCTTTTGGGCCTCGGGAGGCTCTGTTGAAGTTCTCCAAAAGCCGACTGAACAAAATCCTAATCCTAGTTCTTCGCACTAATTTATAACTCTTATTTAACTTTGATAAAGTAGATGAACATTTTCAAGGTTATTTTAACAGTGCTCATAGTCTCATCAAATTTTCTACTTTGTTTTAGTCAAATAAATTTAATTCCAAAGCACCATCAGCTACTTTATTACGTAGATTACATCAAGATGGTATACATAATCGTCAGTCAAAATCTGCTAATAATTCAGTGAGACGAAAATTAACTGAATCTGATTATGCTGAATTCTATGATGATGTATATAAACGTCCCAATACTGCATTTGACCATTATTCACAATCATCAATAAAAAATAAATCCTACAATATTCATCATAAACATCATTATGATAATGATGACAATGAAGCAAGTGAAGATGAAGATGGAATTAAAACATTTCGAAGGTTTGTCAAACTTATTTGAATAAAGTTTCATATTTCAATTTATAATAGAAAAGAATTTCAAAATTTAACTAAGTAAGCAACAACAAAAAAATATGCAGTTGGATGTGAATAGAAGTTGTACAAAGTGAAATGGGTCTAACTGACTTTACAACTTTGAAATGAAGAAGATCCAACTGATGAATCCTAAATAGGATGAAATATGCCTCCTGGATTCCATTGTTAACCACCATCTATCTTTGCTTATGATGTAGCTGATAAACAAAAATTCTTAGCCGAAACAACTTGTTTAATAATAATGGTAATGATAAAATACGAATATTTTTTTGGCAGAACGAACAGTTTAAATGAGTACATTGTGTTTTTGGTAAAGAGAAAGATATAATGAAACCGGGTCTATTGTGAGATAGTAACTGACTGATGATAATGGCGGATGTATCGCTCAATTTCGTGGATTAGTTGAAGTTAGACATTAACACCGTTAGCTACCGGCCGGCTCAATGATCTAGTGGTTAAGTGCTCGCGCGCGAGCATGATAGGTCCTGGGTTCGAATCCTGTGAGGCGGGGTCGTGGATGCGCTTTGCAAAAAAGTCGTCCTATGCTTCCAGGTTTTCCATGGTGATCTAGTTTCAATTGACTCATTATCTAATCTATTGAAATGACTAAAATCTCTACAAAACCCCTTCTGATATAATGAATCATTTTCTGATACACAAACTGTGTTTTAAAATTATACATAGCTAATGATTCAATAATTTATGGTAGGTTTAAGCGTATATCCATACAACCCTTTGACTGGATCCTATCATTGTTAATATCAAAAAAATAAATGTTAAATCGAATGTTTTGAATCTTCTACTTGTTATACAGTGTTATATTATGCTAAGACAAACTGGTAAATGAATTCAAATGTAGTGCAGACATAACCTAGACGAACAATTTACTTACCTAGTTCTACTTGAGCTAGTAAACTAATAGATAAACTCTGAGTTAGTTACTAGTGACAACTGATCTATGAGACTTGGGGGTGGGGTAGGGATGGTTATGCAAAGAAATAAAAGTTGTTTAATTCGAAAAAAAATTTTTTTTTCTTTTTTTTCTCTTTCAATTAAAGTATCCCAGAAAATTTGAATTTATTTCCAAATGATACATTATTTATGAAAAATACATACAAACCATTACAAGATGAAAGACATAAACCATTGAATTTTAGTAATCCACCAATTCGATCAAGATCTTATTCTGAGAAGCCGATCACATCAATCAAAACACCTCTAATCAATAATCCTTTAAGGAAATCATTTGAATTATCATCAAAATATTCCCATGATGATATGGAAGATAAAGATCATTATGAAAATAATGAAAGAATTTATAATGAATTACAAAAGAAACCTTTACATGAATATTCTACAAATGAAGTGAATCAAATTAATGAATGGAATTATGATTTATCAAAACGAAAGGTACTTTTTGTTTTATTATGATCCTATAAACTATTAATCTTATTATTAGATGTTAATTTAAGAAATATGAAAATGAACTCATTCACTTCTAGGATTGAAACTTTGACAGTCTAATTCTTGGTAGATTTGTGTGTGTACAGTCTTGTAATAGAACTTAAAACATGTTCAGTGATTAATGATGGATAGTGGCTAGCAGTGGAATCCAGTTTGACGCGCGTTTCGTCCTATTTGGCACTCGTCAGCTGGATGTACCTGCATTTCAGAGGGTCGATGTTCACTCTGGGACCCGAACCTAGTACCATTCGCTTAAAACGCCATCGCGTTATCCACTCAGCTACTGAGTTCTCATAGCCACTTGGTTGTGCAATGGGGTGAATTTGAATTAACTTGGTATTGTTTGGCTTGTAGGACGAAACGCGCGTCCTGGATTCCATTGCTAGCCACTATCCATCATTGTTTACAAATAGCTTGTGAATTAAGGTCATATTGAGGCATACTCACAGTATGCACATCTGTCAATAACAGACTGAGCAATTGCAGTCTTTAACCTCAATGGGAAGATACAAGCCAAACAATATAAAGTGATGTTCAGTGATTCTTAATTTTCAGCAATTGTCTAAAGTTGGTGCATAATTTATTTTATCATTTTTTTATTGACATCATGAACCGATTGATGTTAGACCACCATTAAAAACCTGGAAGTACTTGATGACCGTTTCGTCTTATTGTGGGACTCCTCTGCAGTGCGCATCCACGATCCCACAAGCGAGATTCGAACCCAGGGCCTTCGGTCTCGCTCGCGAACGCTTATCCTCTAGACCACTGAGTCACACCCAACGGTGTTAGTGTCTCACCTCAAACAATCCACGAAATTGCAAGACCATCTTCCATTTTACTGAGGTAGATACCTGTCTTGTTCTAGTGAGAAGCTGTGACCAGTGGATCTAATCCGTGTCTGGAAGAGACCAGGTGTCTACTTCAGTACGATGGAAGATGGTCGCGCAATTTCGTGGATTGGTCGAGGTTACACATTAGCATCGTTGTATGTCGGCCGGCTCAGTGGTTTGGAGGTTAAGCACTCGCACGTGAGACCGAAGGTACTGGTTTTGAGTCCCATGAGTGGGTTTGTGGATGAGTACTGTTTAGGAGTCCTATACTAGGATGAAACGGCCGTCCAGTGCTTCCACGTTTTCCATGGTAATCTAGCTTTGATTGACTCGTGAACTCAACCATATTTATTTAATTAAATCAAATCTAAAATAAATGTCTCAAAACTTTAAACGTATCACCGAATATGTAAAAATAATATTCTAATCCATCAGGTAATTCATTACTAAGATAACTCATGGATTAGGGTCGAGCAACCTCATAAAACTTGTTTTCAGGCAAACAATACGGGTAATTTTACAAGACTCAGTTTGGAGGCAGTAGAGAATTATACTTCAAAGAAACATGTCAAATATGATCGTTGGTCAAACAGCTTAAATTTGGAAGTATTGGATTCCAACCTAATGATTTCAAGGTCACATGATCACGACAAAACCTGACGATCAAAGTTTCAATCTTGACTCCAATTTTCGTGCATGCTTCCTGTGGGAAAGTCACAGACTAGCGTAAACATTACTGTTCAAGAATTCTCGGGTTTGTAATGGCTATTCATCTGATGTTGTGGACTGCAGTCGATAGATTTCTGTTGACACTTATGTATGCTATGTGAATTGCCTTGCATAAAACGTTACTCACCATTTCAACTCATTCTATGTATCTTTAATACTTATCTTTTTTTTCTGTTTATCATTGATAAAAATAGACTTTGAATCATATAAAACCATCTCATGATATAGATCATCTTCAATTTAAACCAAATATATTGTCCCCTGAATATTCAAAGTATTCTGCATTTGGTAAGTAAACTATTTTATTTAGAAATAAGTCATTAAGAATTGTTTGTATTTATCTATAGGGTGTTTATAATTTGACATATATTGAAAATCTGGAAGCACTGCCGTCCAGTGCTTCCAGGTTTTCCATGATGGTCTAGCTTCAACGGACTCATGATCTTAACCATTGAAATTACTATAATAACAATAAAGCCCATCTGATATTTGAAAAGACTAAGTATTTCAAACACTGGCATTAATGATACTTAGCTATGAATGTTATACAATGATTATATCAGTTAAATAATCTGAAAATAATAAAATGAAAGTGTCAATGAACATTGGTCAACTAAATCACAAATTATTGTGTACTGAATCAAATAATTAAAGGTATCATTGTCATGATAAAACTTGTTAATTTTTAGTTCAATTTTTTTGTGATGTTGGTTAATGAAGAATATTCTCTAGTTTTGCCCACAAATGCCCTGGTATGGCCGAGGGTGGGGTGGGCTCGCTCTCCCTCTCGAAATGCTCTCGCATGGCCACGCATATACAGCCTCTGCCAGGGAAGTCCTACTCAATACCTTCTCGTGGCGGGAGTGTTATTTACGAAATTGAGAGGAAGAAAAGTGAATATTCGGCGCTTTAACCGGATTCCAGACCAAGGGTGCACATGGGCTCCAGTATCCTGAAGGAACAAATGGCGTATGAACCAATCGTTGGTCACTGGCTACCATGGGACTACATCTCCTTACGATGCTCCACTGCTTTGTAGGTCAAACCGTTAGGTCAAAAGCTCTGGGTGTGGCTCCCTATGAAAACCACCTAGTTCGGTCTGGGCACCCGGGCAGTATCCCAGCCCTCACACAAATCGAATGATCTATGTGGCGCATATCTATTTGGTGCCTCCTTGTACCAATGTTTATGTGTTTAAATAAATAAATAATTCTCTAGTTTTTTTATATCGACTCTTCAGTCAGTTGGTTATAAGCAAACGTCACAATGTCACATCATATTAATTCAGCAATGCGAAGATGTTAAGACAAATGTTGTCATTACATTGAAAAGGCTATAATTTCGCGTTTATGCATTTGATAATAAATGACACGACTCGATACTCTAGATGAAAGACTATGAACACTAGACTATGATGTTAAATAATTAAATCACTAGATCAGGTCGCATTATAATATAGTTCTGACCAACGATCAAGAACCAGAATTTGAGCCAAAATAACATTTTATTAACAAAAGTACAGACAATCAATACAGGTTAAAGTTTAAGCAGAATGAATTTACAACACAATATAATTTTAATATATTAATTATCCCCGGATATTCCTATTTTCACTCAGTCAGTCAGCTAAAACGCAGGACTAGGCACATATATGCATCGGTCCAAGTTGCTAGATGAATACCAGATTCATAGGAGTAGTTAATTCAATAGTGGTAATGTATAAAAGAAAGATTGCATATAAGAATATAGTACACTCAACACCTAATCACAGCTCATAGCTCAAATAATGACTGTTTTGGTGATAGTATATAAGCTTAAACATTTACGATATAGTTTCCGAAGAAAGAATGATTATAATCATTCCAAATCTCAAGATCAAATTGAAGTGAATGCATCTTCGTCACTGCGACGGATTCTAAACCATGTTATCTAGTATCTCCAACCACTAAACGCAGTTATCATGTGAACACAACCAGGTAGTTTGCATCTACCAATTCGACAGTCGAGAATTACGTAAAATAATACCATGTCGTCGTTTGACCACATCTAGCTTTCTTTCACTCAACATGGCACGTCGAATTAGGCGGTGGTTGAACATACGTCGTATATATATTGTTACAAACGAATAAATTGATTACTTCAAATACATCTATAATCAAATCCCCCCCAGTGTCTTACGATTATCTACTATTTTAAAAGCCATATTTCATAGTCGTAAAAGTAACTTCGGGGAACATTCATAATTAAGATAGTAGATTCAAAATCTCAATTACTAAGTTTGACTGGATCTCTTTCTTTTCAAACTCAATGTATAATGTGAAATAGGTAACCTCGATTAGACTAAAACAAAACTCAGTATAGGGTTATGGAGATTATTAAGTTTTTTGATTGAAATCATGAACCGACCACCATTGAAAACCTGGAAGCACTGGATGACCATTTCATGATCTCAATAAAAAACTCAATAATCTCCACAACCCTATACTGATAATTACCATGTGCTCGCTAGTGACTTGCTTCGTGAGGGAATTCTCGGAGTTCTATTGAGAAGTCGTGACCAGTGGAGCTAATCCGTGTCGAGTAGAGACAGGTATTCACCTCACTACAATAGAAGATAGTCGTGCAACTTTAAGGATTGGTTGAATTTAGACACTAACACCATTGGGTGCGTTCTCACGCGAGACTGAAGGCCCTGAGTTCGAATCCCGCCCCCGGGATCGTGGATGCTCAACGCTGAGTAGTCCCACGATAGGAAAAAATGGCCGTCCGGTGTTTTCAGGTTTTCAATGGTGGTCTAACATCAATCGGTTCATGATCTCAATCATAAAACAGAAGTTTTCAAATTTCATTAGTTGATATCAAACATTTATTTCATAATTCACTTGAAAAATTATCTTTATATTCTGTTTTCTCCTAAAAGAAGAAGATTCAAACGAGTTAAAATATGAAAATTATAATCATAATATTCGACAAAAATTCGATGATTTACTTGAGAATATTGATTTCACAAAAGATCCGGGTCAGTTCAATCAAGGCGATCTGTATAGAAATAATGATGTTTCACCAAAGAAACTTAACAGAAACGAATTTGGAAGGAACGAAGTATGTCATTTTAACTATTTATCCAGTTTATTTATCTAATTGCAATTTTTTGTTGTCATGGGCCGACATCGGATAGAGAAACATTGAAAGCCAGGAAACACTCACTGATCAGTGGATCGATGACCCTACAGAAGATTGAACCCAGAACTTTCAAACTACTGTAGTGAAATTTGATGGTGGTTCACTCTTCCAATTTCAGTTGGTTTGTGATTACCATCCGTTGTAACATGTATTACTTGTTTAACTCCTGAACTCGATCGCACTCAAGTGATTGCTTCATCTCACTACAACTCAGAAAATTTCCTCTCAACTTATACACTAGGGAGTAGATAGTTTTGGTTAATATGGAGGATTTATGGACATTTTTGGGTCTCATGCCCTACATTACTTTTGAATCGTTGTGAGAGGTAATTCCCACAGTTCTACTAAGCATCCATAACCAAGGAAGTTCAATCTACCAGTTACCTACCGGTGGTACTGAAAGATGGCTATGGAATATCGCGAATTAACTGAAATTAGACTTGCAAACCATTGGATGCCAACTCAATGTTCTGGGGCTTATTAATCCATCTCCATATGACTTGAAGCTTCTGACTTCTATCCTCGATTGAATCTTGTACTTTATAATTCCTAGAAGTTCTTAAGATCAAATTAGTTCTCGATTCAAACTATTGGATCAAGCAATCTCAACAAACTTCTGTACTACTATTGCTCCTATTACACACACGATTAGCTTACATACCTATTTTACAATTAGTTCTGTGATTTGAATGAAATGTATTAATCACTGTCTAGAATGAGCCTGTGTATCTCGAACAATTACAGTCTGTGTATTATAGAATCGTCAATCGGTAGAACTGTCATTACGTAATGTCCCATTCTTCTCAAGATGTCCGTAATTTCACCTTTTCATGATTATTTTCATTTATTTTTGAATATCAAAATAGAATATTACTCATTTTGTCTATGGGATATTATCGAATCAACAGCATGATCCTCGTATTTTTCTCTTGACGAAGTAATAAAGTATTCTGGTTGATGGATACGGCCTTTGGAGCCATGATACGGTCGCAAAAACTCTTTCAACCTAAACCACATAGATTCAATATTGTTTGTACGCACTCCAGTTATTGGGTTCATAAGATACCACTTGTGGATAACGACACGATGCATATAACCAAGTCTATGTAGGCATATGTACGCTCTCCAATCATCCCTATATATTGTGGTGCCTGGTTGCAGCCAGTGTTACTGTCGCTTTTATTATCTAGTTCGCAATAATTTTCATGATTTGCCTTAGGAATTATATATAGGTTTTCATCACGAACTGACATCAGCTATAATGTCAAAACTCTATTTAGCCGAATGGATGAAAGACTGTCGAGCCGAAATCCGAGATCTATTATCTTATGCTGATTTGTTTGTCCACAAATTATAGTTTCGCAGTTTTATTTGTTATAGCCGTTCAATTATCACGTTTTGTACAAAATTCCCTGTTAACCGATCGTTCGTTAGCATTAAGTACTGAAGTTGGCGCTGTAACCTTGAAATCCCCCAAACGCTTCTGATTGGCTTGTCTGTATATTATAGTCTCATCTATATCATTTGTCTAATGAATAACAGATTTTGAATTCAATTTATCTGGCTAATGGGTTTCACATTTGACAGGAAATTTTGTAACTCTTTGAATGTAATAATACCACTTTAGTTAGTATATAGGCCCATGAGTTGTACACTACTATGTGCTTATGTATACCATTTTTATAAACCATTTAACAAAGATCTCTTTGTGAAACATCCGTTTTTGAATTGACCCACATTAGAATATCCTGGAATTCTCAGTTTGATCATTTTGCAAATAAATTCTCTGTATTATAAATCAAGTTCAAAAAAGAATAAATTACTTTCTATTCATAGGTATCCAAAGGTTCATTTTTTGAACAACCAATTACCATTGATAAAAGTTCACTGAACAAACCATCTTCGTCATCTCTAGATACTCGTGGACAAAATCCGGACGTTATATATGCTAATCTTTCTAGTTAGTTTACTTGATTTATTACTTTTTTTATTTTCAGAATGGGAGTTTGTGGAGATTCTAATAATTCAATAATTAAATTCATGAGTCAATTTAAGCTAAACCATCATTGAAAACCTGGAAGTACTGAACGGTCGGTTAGTCTTAATATGGGATTCCTCAGAAGTGCAAATCCACGATCCCTCACAGGAGGGACTCGAACTCAAAACCTTCGGCTTCGCGCGCGAACGCTTATCCTTTAAACCAATGGAGTTCAACCGTGTCTGTTGTGAGATAGTAACTCACTGAATATAATGGTGGACGGTGGTGCAATATCGTGAATTAATTGAAGTTAGACATTAACACCGTTATATGCCGGTCGGCTTGGTGGTCTATAAGTTAAGCGTTAGTGCGCGAATCTCTTGAGTGGGATCGTGGATACGCACTGTTAGAGTCCCAAACTAGGAAGAAACGGCAGTCCAGTGCTTTCGGGTTTTCCATGATGGTCTAGGTTAAATCGACCCATGAATTCAACTGTTAAGTTTTTTATTTATATATTCAGTGTATGATTGTTGTTTAAATTTCATGTAATACTACCAATACTACTACTGCACAGTAGTGCGTATTGAACTCTGTCTTGTCAACTTTCATCAATTAACTTTCATAAGAGTCTATATTATAACAAAAAATAATTTGAAATATATATAATTTTCCTTATTCAATCAAAGTGAATAGTATAATTCTAATTTCATGGTCTGCGTTTCTGTGCAGTCAGTATTCACACTCTTGAAACTTGACCAACGCACATATGCTGAGATAGAAACTAGTAGCGAAATAATAATGCTTTCAATCTATGCATATTTATAAGTGAATACACAAATTTATAGATTGACATCTTGGACATTTTGATCTTGGTTAAATAAATTATTTACTTACTTGGACTATATATATATATATATATATATATATATATATATATATATATATATATATATATATATATATATATATATATATATATATATATATATATAATATACATTTAAGGGAATAGTTTCCTTCTAATTAGAATACTCAAACTCAAGAATTGTCAAAATCTTCTCCATGAAGCTTTCAGAACATTAGGATCACTAGTGCAATTGGTTATTACGGCTAAACTACGCTTAAGATAAGGCTTCTGGTTTCTTCTGTGAGTTGTAAGTTATTTGGTTGAACATATAAATATTGGTATAAAAGGGGCCCCAGATACATATGTGCTACACAAGTCACTTCATTTGTGTGTGGGCTATGATACTGCCTGGGTGATCAAACTGAATCAGGTGGTTTGCTCAGGGGACTACATCCGGAGCCTTTGACCTAAAGGTCTGATCCACAAATCACTGGCAAAACGTGAGGAGATGTAGTCCCATGATAGCCGGTGACCAACGATTAGTTCGTATACCATTTGTTCGTTTAGGGTTCTCTGAAGCCGATGTACACCATTGGTTTGGAATGAGGGTTTTCCAACTCTCCTTGGTGTACTCTCCGTGTCTACCAACCCTGTTAAAGCACCGGACATTTGCATTTAATCGTCTCAATTTTGTAAACAACAGTAATGCTACGAGAAGGTAGTGAGTAGAAATTTCCTGGCAGAGGCTATATATATGAGAGCCGATTCTCTTCATCTTCGGTTGTACCAGGGCATTTGGGGGCAAGTTTTCAGTACACTTAGTTGATCAGATATTACTGAACGCATTTTTTGTTAGACAATTTAAAATAAGCAGTTAAATATGGGAATTTCATACGATGGCTTATTATGGATTTCAAGCAAATTTGTAAGCAATAACCAGAAAAGTTGACCGGTATACACTTTTAAGCGTTTATAAAATCAAATAGGGTAACAATAAAGTATACCCGTATATATACATGCTGTGTGTATTGTCTCGATATTGCCAGTAAGTCAACTATATTATTCGCTTTATCTATTTACTGATCAAGTCTAGAAAACTAACAATCGAGTAGCCTACCTAAATGTTGTTTGTACACTGATATAGGCATTCTTGAATAGATAGAACCTACTGATCAACAATAAGATGATTTAATAATTTTCATTAATGACAACTACAAGTTTATTCAACTGAAGATCAATAATTTCTGTTTACTGAACTGAGTTTACTAGACAAAGTTAATAAATCGGTTGATAAGATTGTGAATCTTTATCGCCTAAGGTACTTAAGACATGTTTTTTTTATATTCTCAGTTAAATGGGGGACTTTCTTTGGTGAAGGAATAGGTTAAAAGAAAGTTAAGTGCTGTCAATTGAATACATGACACCAGTTTATGAAGTCACTGACTGTTAAAAGTTTTGAGGAGAGGCAGAACATTCCTCGAAAAAAGCCTAAAGAGGCCCTGAAAACGCTGAGAAACATCTTACCTAATCAGCATTCAATAAAAGCATCTCAAAAATATCTAGAAAGGGAAGAGTCACATATCACTGTTCTGACTGGATAATTACCTATCTTTCTCCTATGTTTAGAAGGGTTCCAGAACTTTGTAGAAGCCCAAGGCCACCTGAGTTGCTATGAATACGCTCGATTTTCTGTTCATAAACTAGCATTAGGGTAAAACGTTTTATCCATATTTACCGTCTTTTCTCTTGTATTCAAGTTGCCGTGCATATTTGTCCTGGGGGTTACTAGGAGAGTTTAGGAAACCGAATCAAGCGTTCGATTGGAAGATTTATCCGAAATAAGCTCTGTTCCTAACTTCAAACTACTTGGATGTGATTCATCATATTATCGTGATCAAATGACATAATTCAAAATCAGTCACTATTGTTTAAATGAATTCACTCTTTGTCTTAAAATACTTCTCCTTTTTATTCCACCAGTTTATTATCGGTCATTCCCGAATCTTATTTACTTCTAAAACCAGGCTTACTCTGTCATTTGTCTTAATAACTTTATCTCACTATGCTGATAATGTACACTAACCTGAAATAATGCACATCTATTTCATGTTCTACACCGCTAATGACTCACAGTCTACTGACTTGGTCTGTGAATTGGTATCTGAAGAAATCTTTGTACGGATTCAGAAAGCTCGTTTGGCTTTTACCAACTTACGTCACCTATGACGAAGGCGAGATATCCGCCTATCAATTAAGAGACGAGTATATTGTGCAGCAATTCATCCTGTTCTACTTTATGGCTGCAAAACGTGGATATTAAGAGTAGAAGATACTCGTAAGTAACTAGTACTTGGCCACAGATGCCTTAAAAATATTGCTTGCATCTGCTGGGATCACCAGGTAAGCAATAGTGAGGTTTGACGCAGTGTATTAGGGAATGATGGAAAATCAATCGATGAGGTTATGAATCTTCATCGACTGAGATGGTTGGGCCACGTGTTACGTATGCCTGAACTCCGATTATCACGATGCGCAATACTGACTTGTGTTAGCGATGGTTGGAAGAAAGTTAGGGTCGGCCAAACCAAAAACGTGACATCAGTGCTTGAAGTCACTAACTTCCAGTCTGAGCCATATTGGTAGATGCAGACTACTTGATTGGGGTCCACGTGACTATCGTAACTAATGGTTGTAAACTCTGGGTGACATGGCTCAGAATCGATCACAATGGCATCATTGTACACACTTTTTGTCTTCCTTTAAACTATGAGATTAAAATTGCTTCATATCTTCCTTTCTATCAACTATTTCCTATACTGTATATCTTTATAGTCGATCTTTCTTTTATATATTACTACCATAGAAGTGACTACTTCTATGAATTTGATGTTCATTTTGTTGTTCTAATGAGGTATGGCAACTTGAACTGATGCATATATGTGCCTAGTCCTACATAATAGCTAACTGACTGACTGAGTCCACTGACTTTCATTTAAATCTTCGTTAATGTCTTTTTCTTATCCTTATTTCAAACTTATTTTAAGGACCCTCCATGCAAGAAACTGAATTATTCAGTGGAATACATCCATCTGATAATAATAATAATCATAATCATAATAATTACTATTATAATTCTAAAAGAGAGACAATAATATCAAATTGTTCTTCTATTATGGAACAAAATAAAATACAACCAATTAAAAAGTCATTATTACCACAAACTAATACAATAACAAATAAATATAAATTAAGTTTATATGATTCTTCAAGACGAGTAAGTGATATTGATTTATTGAATGATTCTTTTACTTTATCAAAGATAATCTTCATCATATAATCTTGTGTAGTGTTTAAAATTATACAATATAGATTATATTTACTTAAGGTAGCTATCAGAACTCAATAATTGAGTAGGTAATACAATGGTGTTTAAAGTGAACGGTACTGGATTCAAGTTCCGGAGTGAATGTCAAATATGAGATGAAGATACATACAACTGATAATTGCGAAATAGGATAAAATGTTCATTCTGGATTCCATTGCTAGCTATCTTTGCTTATAAAGTTTGTAACTTAAAGCAATATCTAGGTAGTCCGCATAGGAAGCACATATGCCAACAATTTTATTTATTTAAACACATCAACATCGGTACAAGAAGGTATCAAATAGATATGCGCCACATAAATCATTCGAATTACGTGAGGGCTGGGGTATTGCTCGAGTGCCCAAACCGTATCAGGTAGTTTTCTCAGAGGGTCACACCCGGAGCCTTTGACATAAAGGTCTAATCCACAAGTAGTGGAGCAACGTAAAGAGATGCAGTCTCATGATAGCTGGTGACCAGTATTTGGTTCATATGCCATTTGTTCGTTTAGGATCCTGGAGCCCATATGCATCATTGGTTTGGAATGAGGGTTTTCCAACTGCCCTAGGTGGACTCTCCGTGTCCACCAACCCTGTTAAATCGCCTGATATTTGCATTTAATCGTCTCAATTTTGTAAACAACAGTAATGCCACGAGAAGGTAGTGAGTAGGACTTCCCTGACAGTGACTATATACGGGTGGCCATGTGAGAGGAGAGTTGACTCTTCCCACTCTCAGCCGTATCAGGGCATTTGGGGGCATATGCCAACAAGAGATTGATCAATTGCAGTTCTAAACAACAATACGAAGACAGAAGTAAACAATACTAAGTGAATTACTTAGAAAACTATTGAATATCAAGAAATATATTGAAAAACTGTTTTATTTTTATGTAGAACATTGTTACAAGCGAACATTCGTTCTCTCAAAATAGTCTAAGGGTTATATAAACTTAGTTTTATAAATTGCCATGTATTCAAAATATTTCCCAATTTTCTTGCTTCAATTCTCTAAAATATGTTCTGAAATTATTTGACGATCTTGTTGTTGTTTCACAACTTTTTTTTTCAACCTGAATGTTCTACTAGAACTGTAGTCAACATACGGTACATTACATGATCATTCATATCAGTAGTAAACTGGGAGTCGGAAGTGACGATGAATGAATACATATGTTTAGTGTTTTTATAACCACAAAAGGTTGACAGTCATCTTGTCAGAAGACTATACTCAAAGCCGCTAATGTTCTCACTGATTTTCTTCATCTAATTGAAATGAGATGTTTTTATGAATTCTCTATGCTAATCAACAAGCTGATTAGCTGATTCCTTGTATTTATGAGAAAATTTGTATTTTAATGCTTTTAGATAGATAACACTATAAATCATACATTGATTGATCCCTGATTAATGATCAATATCATATTTGTCTACTTTTCAGTATTGATCACATCTTATTGATCAGTACTGAAGGCTGAATAAGCACGATATTCATAACTTTTCAGTGATCAATAAATGTAGATATCTCATTCCTACAGAAGATCAGCCGTCGCCTGAATATCTCTGTAGTAATAGCTTAGACTATCAAATTGATTGACATGAGTTTAAATCTCATAGAGGATTAGTAGTTCGCTCAAAGTTACATGGATGCCTTAGTAACAGGTCTCAACTATCATTAAACATATGATCAGTACAGAACTTGCTTCCAGATACTTCCAATTATGTAACAGAATGTGAATTTGTATGTAAAAACATTTTAGCACCATAGGAGTTCTATTATTTTATTGTTTTGTAAATAATACAGATTTTCACATGATAGTCATGAATTTATTCTTTTCTCTATTTTATCTCGCCATTCTCATTTTGAAAAACAAAACAAACTCTTCCACAGTCATCTTTAAATCAAGACAATATCAACTTAGCTGGATCTCTTGAAAGTATGGTAAGAACATTTAATGATCATTTTTTTGTTTAGAAAATGTTTTTTGGCGCCGATTTAATCGCTAGCAGACATAAACATGCTGAGACTATAATTTATGGACAAACTAGTCAGAATCCAGGACGAGCGTTTCGTCCTGTTTTCGGACTCGTCAGCTGGATGTACCTGCATCTCGGGGTTGATGTTCACTCAGGGACTCGAACCCAGTACCATTCGCTTCAAACGTCATCGCGTTATCCACTTAGCTACTGAGTCTTGATAGCCACTTGCTGGTGCAATGGGGTGAAGTTTAATTCACTTGATATTGTTTTTACTTGAATTTTCCCAAAGCAAGTGGCTATCAGGACTCAGTAGCTAAGTGGATAACGTGGTGGCGTTTGAAGCGAACGGTACTGAGTTTGAGTCCCAGAGTGAACATCAACTCTGAGATGCAGGTACATTCAGCTGACGAGTCCCAAACAGGACGAAACGCGCGTCCTGGATTCCACTGCTAGCCACTATCCATCTTTGCTTATAATGCTTGTAAATTAAAGCAATTTCGAGGCATACGCACAGTATGCACATATGCCAATAAGAGACTGATCAATTTCAGTCCTAAAACATCAATGGGAAGATTCAAGTAAAAGCAATATCAAGTGAATTGAACTAATCAGATTCACGATAGCAGGTCTTAGATTTTGGCATGAAATTCACTCACTCATTCGTCCAAATACCATTTTGGCATTTTAACTGATGTCAATTCGTGATGAAAAGCCTAAATCTAATTCTTAATCCTAATCATCAACTGTAAATCATAATCCTGATTCTTCAAACTTCTTTATAACCTTCATTTAGCCCTAGTAAGTAGGTAGACACTCTCAAGGTCACTTTGGCGTTGCTCGAAGGTCGTCCATAAATTATAATCTCACCATGAACATAATGATTTGATTTGTTGTTGTATGGAATTTTGTTCTTCTCACTATACACAATTAAGTATTTATTAACACTTGATTCGAATCCCAATATCAACATCAACACTGAGATGTAGATTTTTCTAGCTGAACAGTACTAAATGAGATCAAATACTCATCTCATTTTACAATGTTGGCTACAATTCATCTATTGTCTAAGTGTTTTGAATTGGGTATATTAATCTAAATGACTACCTTGTGTAATTTTTGGACGAACTAATCACTGAACAATGCAACAATATCTGAAGTTTAACTGTACACTCATTGATAAATATGAGTTTGTACAATTTATTCCATTCAGTACTTAAATCTACTTTAAATTCAAGCAAGTTAATGAGTTTTTTGTTGTCGTTGTTGAAAAACTAAGCGTATCTTGGATTGGTGATTCGTTTTCTTTTCTTTTAACATCTCGTACAAAGTTTCAAATAAAACAAGCTTTTAATAAATTTGGCAAAGTTGTAAACTAGAAACTTCTTAATTTGATAAGTTAAAAAGCTAACAGTATGAAGTTGTGGAGACTGTTAAGTTTTTTTGGTTGAAATCGATGCTAAACCACCATTGAAGACCTAGAAACATTGGACAGCCGTTTCGTCCTAGTATGAAACTCCTTGGCAGTGAGCATCCACGATTCCGCACACGGGATTCGTTGGATGCCAGATTTAGAAATTAAACGTTCGCGCACGAGGCCGAAGGTCTTAGGTTCGAGTCCCTTTGATGTGGGATCGTGGACGCGCCCTACTGAGGAGTCCTATACTGAGACGAAACTGCCGTCCAGTACTTCCAGGCTTTCAGTGGTGGTCTAACATCGATCAATTTATGATCTCAATAAATAAATACTTAAAAAACTATGTTAAATATGATTGTGTGGATCTTACGATTGATGTTTAGGACTACAATCAATCAATCCAATTATGCTTTTATATACCGTGTTTCGTAGCCATAGAAAAATATAGAGCAAATTACAGTGAAGAATACTAGAACGCGGAAAGCCTGTGTATTCCACAAGTGACATAATTTCAAAAAAATCAAACCGGTTGTCTTAATATGTGCCGAGACTTCGCCAGACAATAACCCATCAGAGTTGATTGAATTTCCATGATAAATAAAGCTGTCAACTCTCTCAAATTCTTGACTACTTATGATCAATTTAGAGGATGACTTAAACCATTCCTTGGCCAATATTTAGGATTAGTGAAACGAGTGGTAACTCGTTATGGTTCACACATTCTTCAAATGCCCCCAACTAAAGTATATCAGCCAGTATGTTAAATTTCGCTTGACAGGTTGTTGTAAAGTATGTCAACTTAGTTTGAAACATTTACATTAGGTCTACCGTTATTCCCTCCACAAATTACCGACACAATGTAAAATCCAATGTTGCTCTAATAATCGGCACCATTTCAAACACTGTCGACTAATATTTACAGACGTATCATAGATCTTGATTCATAATAACAAACAATTATTTTAACAATTTGATAGCTGAATTCATGAGTCAATTAAAGCTAGATCACCATGAAAAACCTGGAAGCACTGGATGGCCATTTCCTCCTAGTACGGGACTTTTTAGCAGAGCGCATCCAAGACCCCGCTTCGTGAGATTCGAACCCAGGAACTATCATTCTCGCGCGCGAACGCTTAGCCACTAGACTACTGAGCTGGTATCCAACGACGTTAATGTCTATTTTTAACTAATCCACGAAATCAAGCCACCATCCACCATTGTCATCAGAGAGTTACTATTTCACAAGAGACCCGATTAAACTCCACTTGTGACGGTTTCTCACTAGAACGCCAAGAAATACCTTTAGGAGACCATTACTAGTGAGCGTACGATGAATATAATCAGAGGAAGGTTTTTGTGGATATTATGGTAATTTAAATTTTGAATTCATGAGTCAATTAAAGCTAGACTACCATGGAAAACCTGGAAGCGTTGGACGGCCGTTTTGTCCCAATATGGGACTCCTCAGCAGTGTGCATCTACGATCCCGCCCCGCTTCCAGGTTTTCCATGGTGGTCTAGCTTCAATTGACTCACGAATTCAACTATTAAATCACTATAATATCTACAAAAACCCTTCTCAGATTCTAATTATTCTAACTTTTGTGATTTGTGTTAGTTATCAAAATTATCACTCATATTAACACTTTAATCATAGTTCACTACTCAAGATCAAAATACACAGGATGACTATTTCATTGCTACACCAAGATCATCTTCACGTAAAGATATTGGGAAAAATAGTGATATTGAAAATGGTGATGAAATTATTATACCAAGAAACAAAGAAGATAAAATCAATTCATTAAAAAATGTTCTATTACGACAAAGGTAGGTGAATAGTTTCTCTCAGTATCAATGACACTGGTCTCTAATGGAACATCGTCGACAAATATAACTATTGTATTCAAAAATTTATCGATCAGTATAAATGGAAATTTTACTGTGTAACAATTGAAATTCTGATCAGTTAATCATTCAGTTATGAACAGTGTAAAATCTGATATGTATGGGGATCAGTTTAAGTTGTGGCAAAACATCAACACCGTTAGATGAGATAATTGTCAGGGCAACTTCCATGGTAATTAAAGTAATAACAATAATAGTGGTAGAAGAAAAGATAAGACATAGGCCACGTGATTCGAGAAAAATGAATGACATTGAAAATAAAAGGCACATGATAGTCTTAAAATCCATGATCTAAGGAAAAATAACGGATGTGTGCATCTATATTATTTCACTCCATTTTGAACTGCATCTAACATTTTCAGCCATTGGTTACTGTTATTCTGCGGACATTAATCAGGTTGTTTGTATCTACTATCATGGATTATAGTTTTAACATGCTGTGTATACATAATTGGGATAAAAGTTTGTAGAAATCGTTTATTTTGATAAACTTGATATGTTTATCCTGTAATAACATCAACCGAAGATCTACTAAAAGTCAGTGCGCACTCTATAGCTACCTGTTCAGCTATGCACCTCTATCATTGTATGCTCATCATCTTAATCTGATGTCAACCTTTAAGGATATGTAAATTTAATTTCAAATATCTCCACAAACTATCATCTTTATAGTAATCGTATGCATAATACTAAGTTCGATGACCTATCTCAAAATTACTGCTGAGAAACTGTGACTTTTAGAGTTCAACCATTTAGAGAGATGAGATAGATATCACCGACCTTATGCGATGATGGTTTTATTATATATTACGAATTAATTAAAATAAGAAATATTGGCAATTGGGTTTTGATCCACTGGTCCAAGGGTAGTGACGCTGATTGGTCACTGAGTAGTTACCAGTGTTATATTTATCTAGTTATTAGTACTGATCGATTTTTGTCGACCATGTTTCAGTGTGGCAACGGATCTGGGTGACTCAATATCTTGTCTAGTATGTTTTGATATTAGGTGGATAGGGATAATCATCAGGAAACTAGAGTCTTCATTTTGCGTTAGGGCTCACTAGTAACTCGTACTCATCATTCTGACCGAAACTATTCATTGTGCTGAGTTCATATCTGTATCATCCGGTCGTACAGTCGGAAAAATCGACTAAATATGATCCTAATTTGTCCGAAATAAATGCAAATGTCTCATTCTTATAGGAACAACTTAGTTTTGTCGTCTAAAATCTCGAGGCTGGGTGGCCCTAACTCAAATTCATCAGAGAACGTCACTTCCGACCGACTACACAATCTACATGTCCTGACGTTGTGTGCACATTCTTGGTGGTCCCTATTCTAGATAGATACAGCTGCTTATTGCTCTCAGATTTTCAACCCTTATCTAACCAAAGTCATTTCATGACGTAAAATCAAAAAAATCCGTTGATATCCGATGACATAAACTATAATTTCATTCCAGTACATTTATTTTACATATATATCTCTTCTCTTCACCTCTCTTCTCAGTTTAACAGATCCATCAGTTTACAATCAAACTGATGATCGTTTATATAACGGAAATCAATTACAAGAAACAAATACTGTTATAGCTGAACGAGTTCGATTAATGACAATTAAACAACAATTAGCTAAAGAAGCAGCTAGCACAAGTGCACGTAAGTGTACAATAATGTTACATTGTTCCATCAATGTTCTTTTATTAGTATGAATCAGTCATCCAGTAATACCTCCAGGTTCTCAATAGTAATCTAATATTGATCATTTGGTCATAATTTCAGTTAAACTCATCAATCTCCACAACTCTATACTGAATGTCCTCATGTTTAAAATACAGTTTAAATACAGAGATCATTTTTCATTTTTCAGATCATTAAATCTTGTCCGACTTAGCAACTAAACCAATCTCCACAAAAACCCATTTATATCAATCATATTTAGTTAGATATTACATAATTATACTACTTTTTTACTGATTAAAACGAATGGTAATGAGTTCGAGTACTAATCCAAACAAGAAAATACGTGAATGTAGAATGAGACATTCGTCTTAGATTCATCATTAAATGTTTCAGGAGAAAATGATTAAATTTCAATCGGATACAAACAAATTTCCTTAGTTCTAAACATAAAGATTTTGGACTTCACTACAATTTACTGATGGATAGTGATTAGATCTCATCGAATTATCAAAATTCAATAAATCTATTTTCTTTTATATTTGTTGCTCATTTTTATGGTGAAACCATAATTTATAGACGAACCGGTCAGGTATAAGATAACAGGTCTGAAACTTTGGCACTAAATTCATTCATCCATTTGGCTAAATGGAGTCTTGGTATTATAGCTGATGTCAGTTCATGATGAAAAACCTTAAATCTAATTTCTAACCCTAACCGTCAACTGTAAATCATAATTCTGATTCCTCACATAGGTTTATGCTATAACTGTGTGACGGCAGATTAGAGGGTAGCGAATTATCGATCGAACCAAAGACGCGAAATCACGTTAGAACGGCCTAGGGTTCTGATTAGTCCCGCTTCCCTGTCTAGCCCAGCCAGTTGAGTCCAGAACACAAGTCTCAGCCTCGGAGATATGAATCATTGTATTTCAAACACACTCTGTTTATATACTAATCAAGCAGACCACATCGTACCATAAAATAGAAAATAACATTGTACAATATTGATCAGTAGGAAAATGACACGTGAAATAAACATTGACCAATAAGGAAATGACACCATCTTAAGTCCAAGGATAGCGTTAGATTTAACAGAATAATTTCTGGGATATTTTTCTGAATATCCCAACAGTTTATAACCCTCATTTAGTCCTGGTTATTAGGTGAACACTCTCATGGTTAGTCTGGCGTATCTCAAAGGTCGCTACTAAGTAGTTTATCTTATATATCACAGCTATTTGATAATCACTCATTAAAAATTTAGTTTTAGTTCAGTCTCTTAAACCATGTACAAGTCGAACGATTTATGAGACATTAATTTATAATGGAAAAAATTCAGTTTTATTGTTTTTAAATAGTTTTAATGTTAGAGATTCTTGACATTGTTCACTTGTCAGAATGAAGGTTTGTGGAAATTGTAATAATTTAATGGTTGAATTCATGAGTCGATCAAAGCTAAACCACCATAGAAATGCTGGAAGCTCTGGGTGACCGTCTCGTCCTTGTATGACACTCTTCAGCACTGTGCATCGACGATCCCTCACTAAATGGGCTCGAACCCGGTTCCGCGCGCGAATGCTTAACCTCTAGACCCCTGGGCCAGCATCTAAAGAATGACGTGTACGGGATTACGGATGCGCGCTTTTGAAGAGTCCTATACTAGAACGAAACAGCCGTCCAGTGCATCTAGGTTATCCAAGGTTCACTTGGTTTACTACAATTCACGATGAAAATCACGAACAGGGGTTTTAAAAATAACCAACTAGAAAACAATTTTAAATTTTAATTACGTAGTTTGTAGGTAATAGATCAATGTAAATGCTACTTTTATCAAGAAACAATATAGACTGTAAAGCTATTGTTAATGAAAGATTGAGTCATTGAACACTTCTTGTTAGTTTGTGTTACATCCTCAGGAAATCATTTACTAATTAGTTACTGTGTGAATTCGAATCATCAGTTTTTCCCATGCTGATCATCGTTCATGTTCTCTGTAATACAAGATACTATATACTAATTTGTTCCTAGGTCCTTTAGTATATGAAATTGTCACGCTTTTCCGAAGATCATTGTTAAGATATTTCTACTCATATGATATTTGCTCGAACAAACTTTCTTCGTTCCTTATCAAAACTCATTTCTTTCAAGAATTTTGTTTGGTGTAGTTGGGACTAAAAGGAGACTATTTTAGTTATATCCACCTATTGGAGTGTAGTTAGGAGTTATTGCTTTTCTCAAAAACTTTTTCAATTTGAGACATCACAGCGTTGCGAGCCGGCTTTCCCTTTTCTATCCAAAGTCAACTTGTAAGGGAAAGTAGCTACGAAACTTTTAATAAACATCTATATATTATCAAACTATATAATAATCATGTGCCCTCACTAATAAATGGTTTCGTGACAAATTTTTATGAGTTCTATTAAGAAATGATGATTTATTGAAATTTTCTCTGACAACATTGGATGATCATTTTTCTATATCACTAATGGAAAATATGAACCATTATAAGTAAGATGAAACATCTATCCGAATTTTCCCTGTTATCAGTTGGTCTTACTTACTTACTTGTGCCTGTTACTCCCAGTGGAACATAGGCCACCGACCAGCATTCTCCAACCCAATACTAACCAGAAAAACATTATCCAAACCACTTATCACTTGATCTTAGATAATATCACTTCATAAGTAAAGCTTATCCTTTAAATTATTTATTAGATGATCTAATTAATTAACTTGTACTGGTAGCATAAATCATTATACTTCAAGTATTAAACTGTTAACTGGATACATTTCAACGTTTCGACACTTCACTTTCTTTGCTTTCCAACATTTCCTTTTCTTATAATCAATATAATTTATTAAATCTTAACTATAAATCTTATATTAACCAATTCATACATTGAAAGTATTAACTTTCATGTTTATAATTGAAACGAGATTGTTACTATAATGAAAATCTTCTTTTTTATATTTCAGGTCTTAATGCACGTGAACATCCATCTATTTATAATAATGTATCTAGATAAAAGAATGTTTTAAAATAAACATTCGAATTCAATAGAACTTCCAAAACCCAATAACATATCATAGTCTTCTTTTTCTTTTTTGTGTGTGATTTTTTTGTTCTTTTTTGGAAAGAAAGTTGTTTTGTATCGAATTTCTTTGTGCTGTTGATTTTTCTTTAGTTGCTATGCTGAAAGGAAAAAAAACCAGTAATCAGGTTACATTATAGTACTATCAAAACAAACATTGTTTTTTTTCTCTACCTCATATTAATTTGGTTTCAATCTTTATATTAATCTCAATTATTTTATTCTACCTATTCATTATTTTGATTTTATTAACAACGCATTTCAATTTGATAATTAACAAGTTGTTAATACATAATATGAAAATATTTTTCGTCGATTATTTAGTATTACTTGTAAGTAGTATAATTTGAATAAAGTAATATATTATCAGAAGAGGGGTTTTATGGAGATTGTAGTAAATTCAATAGTTGAGATCATGATTCAAATGAAGCTAGACCACCATGGAAAACCTGAAGACACTGGATGGCCGTGTCGTCTTGTTGTTAGACTTCTCATCAGTGTGCATCCATTATCCCAACTCGCGGGATTCGAACCCAGGACTTATCATTCTCGTACGTGAGCGATAAACCACTGAGTCGGCATCCAGTGATGTTAATGTCCTATTTTAACCAATCCATGAAATTGAGCAACACACGCAACATTGTTTTCAGTGAGTTACTATCTCACAACAGACCTAGTTGAACTCCACTGGTCATTGCTTCTCACTAGAACTCCAGGAAATACCTCATGAAGCTAGTCACTAGTGAACATATGTTGATTACTATCAGAAATGGTTTTTAGTAGTATAGTTCATGAGTCAATTATAGCTAGACTACCATAAGGAGTCCTATATTAGAATGAAACGGCCATCCAGTCTTCCCAGTTTTTCTAAGGTGGTCTAACTTTAATTGATTCCTGAACCTAACGAATGAAGTAATGCATGTCCATTGTATACTTTAAGAGTGATAGTGTTTTGCATCGAAACGATTAGGCTTTCTAATTTTGACATTCTTTTTTTTCTTACGAGGAATAACAGTCAAGTGAAATT